AAATCTAAAGGGAAAAAATAAATCAAAGAAAGCAAAGATGAGAAGATGCCACATGATCCATTTATGTGAAAGATGTCCATTTGATCCAAAATCTCGTATAAATGAGACTATACTTACACTGTAACAAAAACAGTGTATAGACCCAATGCTGTATAGACGACAAAAACAGAGTATGTACCTCAAGTTCTACGTCATCCTCCATTTCTTCCTCGGTTTTCTTATTCTGCTTGCGAAATCTAAGTATTCCTTGCCATCTCTGTGGTTTGCTGGTATCTAACGATTCTATACAGAACAAATCATGGTCAAGACGCATTGGCCAGCCAATTTTGATGCACTCAAGAGACATTAGACAATGAATGGTTTGAGGAGAAGTTCTTGTTCAGGTCATCATAGTTTCTCCACATAGAATGATCTGCAGTTCCATTCTTGTTCTTCTCAGAATCATTCAGGCATAAACTTTACAACTACCTACTCATTTTTAAGTCAATATAGCTATAACTTCCACATTCAGAGAGAGTAGAAGATGAGGTGAGAACAATGATAAAGGATTCCATTTCTATTCATGTAATCTAACTTCCACATCCTTAGCACAAAAAAGGAATTAAAAAATACCATCTAAACACATAGGCACATAATCAGCAAAACACAGGCTTATAGAGTTCAAAATTTTTTTAGAAAGACACAAAACATCTAATTTAAACACTCTCTTCAACATACCAGGCAATGAATCATATTTCTCCGTATGTGACTGTTGAGTCCTTGACAAGATCCTGAATGACAACTTTCTTCTTCTTGGTTGGATCAAAGGGTGGGAGCTAAGGATGACCAAAAAAGAAAAACCATACAATCATGATTTATCCTCAAAAGTATATGGGTAACTTAATATTTAAGAAAGAGGATCCTTTTTCCCTTAAGAGAACAAAAACCCAACTTACTTCTTCCTCATTCTTCATCTCATTATTTTCAGCAGCCATGATTGCTACCGAGGGAAAAAAATATTGAGAAAACAAGCACTCAGAAACAAAACATATGCAATAGCGATAGTATTATCGATTAAGTAAAAAGCTTTTTGTTCTACATCAGATCAATAATTGCCATGCAACGATAACATGTAAGTTATGGTTTAAGTAACTAAGAAGTTTCGGTATGATAATGTTTGCGACAATAAATGTAATTTATAATATAATTTAATTTAGAGAATTTGCATGCTGTAACATAGAATACGATCGTATTTGCAAACATATAAAATTATACGTTATACACCTATTTACATATTTTCATTAATACAAAAAACTCCCTATAACTCTAACGGTTATAGGCTACAGGTAAAAGAACCCCTAGGACTTTAGTGTAATAATGCTACTTAAAAATTTGAAAAGAGTATTTCAAATTGAAGATATTTACAACAATTCATCTCTGGAACTTCCTAATGCAGAGACGTTTTTTCCCCACTTGCATCTGGTCACTAATGGCGCTTCAAGAACTCCCGACCAGAAATTTTGCCGCCGGCGACGAACCCACCGGCGAGAGGGTGAACTCCTATCATAAAGCGAATACCATCAGTAACATTCTCGATGCTCTTGACGAGGAGGAGAGAAACTACTTACGAAAATCGCCTTTCGGGAAACTCATCGCCACTGGCGACGGTTACTGGGAGTTTCGGGCATAACATAATCACCAGACTTCTCAAAGTTGATTTGGCAACCAAGATGCTTAAGAAGAAAACCGTTGTCGACTGGACTACTCGTTTGAAGTACACTTGCCCTGCTATTACCGGCGCTGTTCTCTGCCCTACCAACCACCGGTCGAAAATCGTGTATGACCATGTCGAGTTAATCAGAGATTTGGAAGATTTCTTCGCATATCCATGGGGTAGACTTGGATTCGAGATGCTAATCGCTAACATAAAAACCAAATATGAGGTTGCCCTTGCACAAAGCACCGTCGCAGTAAAAGATTTTTTTCATGATATTCAGTTAATTCTGGTGGAGGCCATTCCGGCGCTTACGGAGGTTGTTCAAGTGAATGAATCTTCTGATTCTTTTGATTCTGAAGGTGGTGAAGACGAAGATGTTGACATTGACGATGCCGTTCAATCGGGAGGAGGTGGTAAGGGCTTGTTAGATCAGGACACAACGATTGACCCAGATCAGATTACATCTAAGACAAACCCCAGATCGGAGGTTTCGAAACTTGGGCTCAGTCCCGGCCATGCGAGGGAAGTAGATGAAGAATGTAAAGTAAGTAACAACTAACAACTTTGATTCCCATCTAACAATTCTGTTACCTGTTTAAAGGGGTGGCACATTTAAATGCTAACAAATTTGATACCCATCTAACAATCCCGTTATATGTTTTAAAGTTGATGCACATGTAACAGCTAACAACTTTGATACCCATCTAACATTCCCGTTATCTGTTTAAAAGGAATGTCATATGTAACAGCTAACAACTTTATTGCCATGTAACAATTCTGTTAGCTGTTTAAACGACTCGCATATGTAACCGCTAACAATTTTTACTGCCATCTAACAGTTCGGTTATCTGTTTTGTACGACTCCCTTATCTAAGCATTATGTTAACCGTGTAATATATTTACAGGTTGATGTTTTCAGTATTACTCCCGACGATCCCAAAGTGGATTATGTGGTTCAACTTATTGGTGAAGGTTTTCAATTCAGGAAGGAGATGTTCAAGGGTGGGATGACTCAAGCCGAACTTGTGACAGAGGCGGCCACAAAAAAAGAGTTTACACCTCTAGCTCAGATGTTGTCGTTCATCTTGAAAAAGTTAACGGGTTACAAACGTCCAATCGAGTATAAGGTGTTCTCGATACAAAGAGCCAAAAGGATTCCACATAACCCATATGTACTGATTCTGGAGTATCCGCTGTGCTTTTGGCAATGATGCATTGTATTGGGGGTGTGGAGAGATGCAAGTCGATGACACCAGAAGAACTTGTCAACGCGAGTCAAGTATTGGCTATGAAATTCTTTGACGAATTCGCTGAACCACTCTGAGGATTTCATGTGCTCGTCCGATAACCCTTTTTTTCATGTTACTTGGTATTGCAAGACACTCTACTCTATCTTTGTTGTGGCAAATTGTTGTCTTTTATGGGTCTCCAAACTGTTACCAATTACTTTGTACTGGTGTATTTTTATTATTATCCTCTAAAAAGTCAGAGTTAGGGCCCTAATAGATATTAACCAATCTAATCAAAAATTTAGTATGCTAAACAGATTAATAACATGTATAACATGTATAACATTGATACCAAACCCTTTATTGGCGATGTTTTGTTACTTAGAATATATTTCATTAGACCTCTAAACAATTTTTTAATACTTTTGACTGATATAATAACAGGTATAACAGACTTAGTAGCAGACTTCATTGGTGGGTATTTTTTAAGCTTGTCTTCTCATATACGAAGGAACGGTATTTCGTTAGAGTTATAAAAAATTGTTTAGCACTTTTGACTGACATAATAATAGGTCTAATAAACTTACTACCAGACCTCATTGATGGCTATTTTTTAAGCTTGTCTTCTCATAACTTATATTGTATTTTGGATCGCCGCCGTTAGAATCGTCGGTAATCTCGGAGATTACAACCATCGCCATCAGTCGTCGGAAGTTTCAGAGATTATGATGGCCTAATTCGATTTTCTTGTCTTGTGTCTACTACTTACTGATGACTGATTAGTAGATAGATATACTCTTCAGTCATTAATTGCTCTGTTTTGTTTTTAATTATCGACTAAAAGATGACGGAAAAAAAAATAAAGATGGCGGCAAAAAATAGACCTAATTTACCAAATAAAACTTCAAATAGTCATTTTGCATAAACCGAGAGATAAAATAGTAGTTTTAAAAACCTGATTGGACACTCACGTGACAAAAAATCTAACTTAATTCTAAATTGTGGTTTCTTCCTTTGTAAAAAGATTACTATTACAATTAAAATTCTTCAATTTGCAACCAAAATTAAGCAAATCAAAACTATAACAAGAAAAAATATACCACGATATATAAGCAATTTTACTTGTTTCCATTTTCTTATCATAACAAAAAAAAGTGGCATTTCTTCATTTCTTGGCAAAAGTATTATTTGAAACTTTTCTTGTAAAATCAGCATACAGTTAAATACATTTTGAGTTGCAACTTAGTTTGTTTTGCTCACGTAACATCTTCACATAACTGAACCAAGATTTCATATATAGTAGAAGCACAATGGGTCTTGTTAAACTCAGAAGAACAGGAAATCTATAACTCTAGCAACCAAACGTCTCTTAACGTTACTCACAAGTCACAAATCTCTCTGTTTTCTATTTAGAAACCCTAATTTGTCCTGTATCTTTCCTTCGAATGGTGTCAACAAATGTTAAATTCAAAGTTTTGGATGGTTGTGTTTTGACTAGTCTTTGTATATTGTCAACTTGATATTTTCTATTTTAGACTTGTAGTTATCTATAATGTATAGCTAAACCGTTCGTTTTGCTTCATCTCTAAACCAGAATTTCATATTTCTCAAATGGTATAAGTAAATTGGGTTTTGGTACCTATAAAGGTAATATTCTCTCCACATTGAACATTCTATGTACGCTTCAGGTCTTTGTATTTCCTCAATTTGATATTGTAGTTACCCATAAAGTCAAAACCACCGGTTAACTAAATTAATTTGTTATGCTTCTTATCTCAACCACGATTTCACATTGCTCTTCTAGTAGAAGCAGGTTTGATTTCTGCTATATCTTGAATATGACTTGCAGAACATACAAAAAAAAAAGATAGCAAAATGATAGCTAACTAAAGACATAGCTAACTAAAGATGCATTTCAACAATTTCGTAAGAATTTTTCTATAAAGGCAGCTACAAGAATAGCCTACCTTCTGTACAGCTCAAGAAATCTACTCAAGGCTAATTCTGTAAGAGTATCTACACTGTGCAGAGATGCAATTCAACAACAAATTTCGTAAGAATTTTTGTATAAAGGCAGCTAAAAGAATAAACCTATCTTCTTTACAGCTTAAGAAATCTACTCAAGGCTAATTCTGTAAAGAGTATATACACTGTGCAGAGAGGTAAAGAAGTAAGAGTTACTCTTGAGGTGTCAGATACAGCTTCTGAGTCACTTTGATTCACCTGCAAGTTCATGAATGTCCTATAAGTAAAGCCTTTGAGAGGGTAACGAAAATGCCATAACTTTATCACATAAACATACATACCTGCAAGAACACCAATCCCAAGCATCATCAAAGGGTAAAAGTTCGACAATGCTCAATGTAAGGCGACTCGATTGATGTAAGCACACGCTTGATTGATTCGACATTCCCCCAAATCTCACCATCTTGACGTCTTTCCAAATGGATCTCTAAGCACCAAATCTCTTCTTCCCCGTGATGATCAGACCTAAACAACGGGCTCTTACCAGCCAAAACCACCAGCTTCCCACCAAGATTTGCCATTTTAGAGTCATAATCAGAGATATTAGTAGGAAAACCATAGACACCTCTCACAGATCTCCAAGTCCTCTCCGTTGGATCATACACGACTACTGGATGTCCAAGACTACACAAAGGATCGATCGAATACAGCTTATCATCAACCACACAAGACGATGCTTTCCACAAACTCTTCAATTCTTCACCATCGTTCCTTCGTGCCCAAACACCTTCCCTGGGAAAAAGGATCCTGCTTGAGATCTCGATTGAGGTTGCAAATAAAGTTTGCTGTCTAAAGCTTATTTGGAGGATTATGTCATCCCCGAGCTCTTTATGGGTACAGTGGATTCAGGCGCAGCTTATACGGGAAGGGTCTTTCTGGGCAATAAAAGATACAACATCAATGGGCTCCTGGATGTGGAAGAAGCTTCTTAAGTACAGAACCCTCGCAAAAAACTTCTACCGAGTGGAGGTAAAAAATGGAACACATACGTCTTTCTGGTATGACTCATGGAGCAGTAAAGGATGTCTGCTGGAGCTAGTTGGGGAACGAGGCATCATTGACCTGGGATTTTCAAAACATGCGACGATGGCTGAGGTTCTTGACAGACCAAGAAGGCGGAGACACCGCCAGGGCCTACTTAACGAGATCGAAACAGAGATAGAGCAGTTGAGATTGAGAAAAATCACCCAAGGATCGAGACGAGACACAGTGGAAGGGTAAAAATGGACAGTATAAACCGAGGTTTGAAGCCAAAAAAACAGGGAGACAGATCGTGCCTTGGTGCAGAGGAGTTTGGTTTCCCCACGCTACTCCCAAGTACTCATTTATGCTCTGGCTAGCGATCAAGAACAGATTAGCCACAGGGGACAGAATCAAAAACTGGAACCAGAATGCAACCACCAGTTGTGTCTTCTGCAGTGAACCAATTGAAACGAGGGATCATTTGTTTTTCATGTGTGGAATCTGCAATCGATTAGAGTCACATCCGATGTGGGTTTCCCGTCGGATCTTCCTCCGATTACGTACATCGTCGGTCCGATTGTGACGACGGCAGATCCCCAATGAATCGGGAGTTTGTCGATTCTGCACAGTCGCAAGGAGATCTCGTCACGGCGGAGAATGTACCAGCTCGGGCTTGAGGAAGTAGGGAATCCGATGGAGGCGTAAAGAACGCATTCGGTGACGCCGAGTCGCGAGCGAGCGTCGTAGAGTCTCGGCGAAGCGGCAAGAGTGCGAAAGCCCTTGGAGATGAGGGATAGGCTCGGGTAATTGCATCTCCGGAGGAGTGCGACGCAAAGTTCGGTGAGATCGTGTGGAAGATTTGGGAAAGAAATCGAGCGATACTGTATTTCTTCTTCTTCTTCGTCTTCAGGTTTCTCCTTTTGATTCTCTTCTTCTTCCTCTTCTTTCTCGACGTCTTCTGGTTTCTTGTTTGGATCGCCGCCGTTAGAGCCGTCGGGAGTTTCAGAGGTAACGGCCATCGCCGCCGTGTAAAGTCAGTTAGCAGAGAATTAACGGAAAAGCGAGCCTACTTTGATTTTTTAATTAAAAAACTAGATTTTAATCCCGTGCATTCGTCGGGAATTTTTTATTTTTTATTTCTAATATAAGTTGTATTTATCTTTTTTGTTTAGATATAACTTATTTTTATTATTTATTTTTTTAAATAAAAAAATTCTTATCATATTTTAATTTTAAACAGTAAAATTTGTATATTAGTAGAATACATAATTATAAACTTTGTTATTATGTGAATTTAGATTTACACATAAACAATCTATATATCTATGAATTTGCTAATTCATCCGTTTAGTTATCTTAAATCATTTTTAATATTTTATATGTTTTGACAAACTAACTTGTATAAGACTATAATTATAATTGTATAATCCTATAAATATTCACTAATATGGAATATTTGGACCAATTGATTATGAAAAAATATAATAAGATATTTATTTACTATTTGTGCTATTTAAAAAAATATATATAAACGTGCTAACCTGTTAGTTTAATTGTCTCAAATCATCTTAATATCTTACATGTTTTAATAAATTAACATATAGACCTTATATATATATATAACTCTAATCAGCTCGATCATATTATTGTATAATATAAATATTTATTAATCTCAAATATTTGATATTTTAGACCGATTGTTTATGATAAAATACGATAAAATATTTATTTACTATGCATTTTTATAAATATATTATTTAAATTTAAAATTTTAAATTTAACCTTTCCTGTATTTAAGAAATTCTAAAGTATATCTAAATTTTCGTAATAAAATTTAATTATATTTTTTTGAATTTTTTGAATTTAAATTAAATTTAATGCAAATTTTTGTAACTAAATTTAATTAAATTTCTAATAATTTGAAATTTAAATTAAAGATGACTTAGATTTTGGAAAATCTAAAAATATCTAAATTATTAACTAGTTTTTGGTAATTAAATATAAAAATAATGTAAAATATTATAAAAAAACTTTGAGAGTGTTTGGATGCAAGCACTAAATGTGCTTCTGTTTTAATAGAATAGAAGTGCTCTCGTGTGTATTTTATAAACTAAGGGTCAGAAACTTCGTTAAGAAAAAATGTTCATCATTTTTGTTTCCAAAATCATTTGTTTCTTGTAATTTTTCCACCTTTTTACCAAAAAAACACAACGATATTAGCCAAAAAAATACAGTTGGTAAACGAAATTCACTTTGAAATTAACGTAAAAGCGAGTTTCCTTTGATTTTTTGAAAAAGAAAAAATAAAATGCTTTCTTGTGTATTTCATAAACTAAGGGAGGATTCAGAAACTTCGTTAAAAAAAATGTTCATCATTTTGTTTTGTTGCCAAGATAATTTGTTTCTTGCAATTTTTCCACCCTTTTACCAAAAAAAAAAACAACGATAAAAAACAAAACAATTGGTAAACGAAATTCACTTTGAAATTTGCGTATGAATTTTTCTTGAAACTATTCTAAAGATCAAATATTGTCTAAAGTTAGGAAAGTAGTTCCCCAAAAAAAAACAAAAACTTGTATCAAAATTTAATAGATTCGACGTGTTGCATTGACCATATGCATAAATAATCAACCTCACACATTTTCTATAAATTGACTCAACGATCCCTAGCCCTCATTGATAACTTCATAAGTCGCATTGTTCTCTACACACAATCATATATTAAGTCGCATTGTTCACTGATAAATTGACTCAACGATCCCTAGCCCTCACTAAACCCTTACTTGTGTGTTAGATTCTTAAGAAATGCATTTTTTAAGAAATATCAAAACGACGCACTTAAAAAAAAAATTGATCAAATTATATATTAAACTGGTATGCCACGTGTCTGCTACGTCATTAATTGTAGACAGAAAATTAATATTGTTTACGGTTTTGATGAAATTGGCCGCATTTTAATATTTCATATAGTTATAAATATAGTTCAATAGTTAGTGTATTGATTTTTAGAAAACATAAAATTCATGGGGGAATAGACCGTTTTTCCTAATCCCCTCTAGTAAAACTTTAGACCGATTCGAACTTCAATATTAACAATTACCGGTTCATGATATAAATATTGGTTTACGTTCAATTACCGACCTCTTCAGCTGATTCTGGTTCACAAGTTAACATTAAGAAGTTCACAGCAATCGAGAAAGCTATGAATTGAGTCAAACGTCTCTCAACGTGACGTACATGTTGCTGTTGGAGTAAGCTTTCTAGAAGCTTGAAGAGCAAGCTTCTAGATTGTTCTAGATTATCTTTAAGTAATGTTTCCTAAAAGTGTTAAGGTTAAGAAAAAGGAAATTAGGAGTTATCTAATTCTATTAAATTTAGGAGTAACTAAACATCTATATAAGGAGATGCCAATGTGTGGCATAACTTATGAGTTTTGTGTTTTGGATCTTTAGGTTTTGAGAGAGTTTCCTAAAATTTAATAAAAGAGAGTTTTATTAAATCCTGTTCTTGAGCCAAAGTCGATATTATTTGGTATCAGAGCCTCTAATCTATCGATCCGAACAAGTCAAATACGAAGATCATTAAAACCGAAGCTATGGGAGATATTGTTCCTGTCACGCGACCTAAAGAGCTGAGTACGTCCACCATCCAATGTCCGATGCTGAACTCGACCAATTATACCGTATGGGCGATGAGAATGCGGATATTACTCAGAGTTCATAAAGTATGGGAAGTCGTAGAAACAGAGTCTGACCGATGCCGAGAAAAACGATGTAGCGATGGCCTTAATCTTTCAGTCCATGCCCGAAACAGCTATACTACAAATCGGAGAATTAGCAACAGCAAAGAAGGTGTGGGATGCGATCAAAGCCAAAAACGTAGGAGCCGAGAGAGTCCGGGAAGCTCGATTGCAGATGTCAATGGCTGAGTTTGACAAACTAAAGATGAAGGATACAGAAACAATTGATGACTTCAGCGGAAAACTATCGGAGATCTGCTCAAAATCTGCGGCTTTGGGAACTAATATCGAGGAATCAAAGCTTGTTCGAAAGTTTCTGAAGAGTCTTCCAAGGAAACGATACATACACATTGTGGCATCTCTCGAACAAGTATTGGATCTCAACAATACTACCTTCGAAGATATCACAAGGCGTTTAAAAGCGTACGAGGAACGTATCCAAGGAGAAGACGAGGAAACCCAAGAAGATTCGAACAAATTAATGTATGCGAATAGCGAAAGTCAATCAAACCGAGGCTACACCGGTGAAAACAGAGGCAGAGGTCGTGGAGGACGGTTTTACAGCAGAGGAAGAGGACGTGGTAGGACCAACGAGGCAAGAGATATGTCCAAAGTCACCTGTTATCGGTGTGATCAAACAGGTCACTACGCGTCACACTGCCCTGATAGACTGTTAAAACTGCAAGAAACCAGAGAAGATAATGACAATGAAGAAGAAACACATGAAGGAGAAAAACTAATGATGCACGAGGTTGTGTTTCTCAACGAGAGAAACGTCAAACCAAATAACTTTGAGTCATCTCCGGCTGAAGACGATGTGTGGTATCTAGACAATGGTGCTAGTAACCACATGACAGGAAATCGAAGCTTCTTCACAAAGATCGATGAGAATATTACAGGAAAATTGCGATTTGGGGATGATTCTCGCATCGACATAAAAGGCAAAGGGTCTACACTATTCGTAAGCAAGGATGGTGAACGTAAAATCTTAGCAGATGTCTATTTTATACCTGACCTTCGAAGCAACATTATCAGTTATTATCAGTTTAGGACAGGCTACGGAATCAGGGTGCGATATTCGTATGAGAAAGAACCATCTCATGTTATATGGCAGCGATGGAAAACTTCTAGTCAAAGCGAACAGATCAAGGAATAGACTCTACAAAGTTCACATGGAGGTGGAGAAAGCGAAGTGTCTGCAAATCATGGCTATAAGTGATTCTGTTAAATGGCATGCGAGGCTAGGACATGTTGGTATAGAGACCATGAAGACAATGATCAAGAAGGATCTTGTCAAAGGAATACCAAACTTTTTTGTAGAAAAGGATACCTGCTCCGCATGTATGCTCGGAAAGCAGATGAGAAAGCCTTTCCCACAATCAACAACATATCGAGCATCAGAACCACTTGAACTCGTTCATGGTGACCTTTGTGGACCGATTGCACCTGCAACAGCAGCACAAAACCGATATGTTTTCGTGTTAATTGATGACTATTCTAGGTATATGTGGTCTCTTCTTCTCAAAGAAAAGAGTGAAGCTTTCAGCCGATTCAAAGGGTTTAAAGCAGTTGTTGAGCAAGAAACTGGTCGACTAATTAAAACCTTGAGAACGGACAGAGGAGGTGAGTTCGTGTCTCAAGAATTCCAGGAGTTTTGTGATAATGCAGGCATCAAAAGACACTTGACCGCTCCCTACTCTCCTCAACAAAATGGAGTAGTAGAAAAAAGGAACAGAACTCTTATGGAGATGACTAGGAGTATCATGAAACATATGAATATTCCTAACTACCTTTGGGGGGAGGCTGTGAGACATGCAACATATCTTATCAATCGAGTGGCTACAAAGAGTTTGGAGAAGCAAACCCCATATGAAGCATTCAAGAGAAGAAAACCGAACATTGAGCATCTGCGAGTTTTCGGGTGTATTGGATATGCAAAAATCACATCTCCACATTTGAAAAAACTCGATGATAGATCACAGATTCTCATCCATCTGGGAACTGAACCAGGATCAAAGGCCTACCGATTATTGGAACCAAAGAGTAGAAGAATTATTGTTAGTCGCGACGTGATCTTTGACGAAACAAAGAGCTGGAAGTGGAATAACACAGTAAACGAGTTAAACAGTGGCATCAGAACATTCACTCTCGTCTTAGGAGGAAAGCAAAACAATGGAACAAATGAAACAGAGGAAACAGAGGACGAAAGTGAACAGTACACGAATGATGGAGATAATGTCGAAGACAACAATGCTTCCGATGGTATTAACCTTGAAACCGAAGACAATACTACAGAAGAACAAGTGCAAGACCAACCGGCACTTAGAAGATCAACACGACTTCGCAAGCAACCAGGTCACTTCGATGATTTTGTAATGATTGCAGAATTAGAGAGTGAACGCCTATTGTTAGCCATGAATGAAGAACCATGGGATTTTAATGAAGCGAAATCCCTAAAAGTATGGAGAAACGCATGTGAAGAAGAGATTGCATCGATCAACAAGAACAAGACTTGGACTTTGGTCAATCTTCCTAAAGGAGCAAAAGCCATTGGACTTAAATGGGTATTTAAAATCAAACATAACTCTGATGGAAGCATAAACAAATACAAATCAAGACTTGTGGCAAAGGGTTATGTGCAGAGATATGGTATTGATTTCGACGAAGTATTTGCTCCAGTGGCACGCATAGAAACCATTCGATTTATTATTGCTCTAGCCGCTTCAAGTGAATGGGAAGTACATCATCTTGATGTAAAAACAGCCTTCTTACATGGCGAGCTGAAAGAAGAAGTGTATGTTCATCAACCTGAGGGATTTGAAATCAAAGGAAGTGAAGATAAGGTGTATAAACTACACAAGGCTCTTTATGGACTGAAACAGGCACCAAGGGCTTGGAACAACAAGTTAAATCAAATTCTTGTTGAATTGAAGTTTAGCAAGTGTTCAAAGGAACCTTCACTGTACCGAAGAGAAGAAAAGGGGTTTCTTTTGCTTGTGGCGGTATATGTGGACGATTTACTAGTCACAGGTTCAAGCTTGGAGCTGATACTTGAGTTTAAAAGGCGCATGGCAGAACGATTTGAGATGAGTGACCTTGGAAGGTTAACCTACTATCTTGGGATCGAAGTAGGACAACAAAGAGGATGCATCACATTAAATCAAGAGAGATATGCAAGAAGAATTCTCGAAGAGAATGGCTTGGATGAATGTAATGCTGTACACGTTCCAATGGACTCTGGTTTAAAGCTATGCAAAGCACAAGAAGAACGAGCAATCGATGAGAAGAAGTATAGGAGAAATATAGGCTGTCTTCGATACTTGCTTCATACGCGACCTGATCTTTCTTATGCTGTTGGAGTGCTAAGTCGATACATGCAGGAGCCTAAAGAATCTCATGGAATAGCACTCAAACAAGTACTAAGGTATCTTCGAGGAACTTTGAGTTATGGATTGAAGTTTTCGAAAAGCAGTTTATCTGGTTTGATCGGATACAGTGACAGTAGTCACAATGTTGATTTGGATGATGGCAAGAGTACTTCTGGTCATATCTTTTATCTCAATGAATGTCCAATAACCTGGTGTTCTCAAAAGCAAGAGATAGTGGCATTATCTTCTTGTGAAGCTGAGTTTATGGCAGCTACAGAAGCTGCAAAACAAGCGATTTGGCTGCAGGAGTTACTCGGTGAAGTCATTGGATCAGGATGTGAAAGAGCTTTGGTTCGAATTGACAACAGGTCTGCAATTGCATTGACAAAGAATCCAATGTTTCATGGCAGAAGTAAACACATACACAAAAGATATCATTTCATTAGAGAGTGTGTCGAGAATGAGCAAATATTGGTTGAGCATGTTCCGGAAACAGAACAGAAAGCTGATATTCTGACTAAAGCACTTGGAAGGATCAAGTTTAAAGAAATGAGAAACTTCACTGGAGTTAAAGAGATGATCAAAGAAGACTTCAAGCTTAAGAGGGAGATTGTTGGAGTAAGCTTGAGAGAAGCTTGAAGAGCAAGCTTCTAGATTGTTCTAGATTATCTTTAAGTAATGTTTCCTAAAAGTGTTAAGGTTAGGAAAAAGGAAATTAGGAGTTATCTAATTCCATTAAGTTTAGGAGTAGCTAAACATCTATATAAGGAGATGCCAATGTGTGGCATAACTTATGAGTTTTGTGTTTTGGATCTTTAGGTTTTGAGAGAGTTTCCTAAAATTTAATAAAAGAGAGTTTTATTAAATCCTGTTCTTGAGCCAAAGTCGATATTAGTTGCAAACTAGGCTTTTAGTATAATTTTTGTTAATTTGATACTGTAAAAAGTGAGTATCTATATTACGCACAAGGTCACAACTAAGCCTGAATTTTTCGGGAAGGGTAACCCGTCCCGAAACGTATCCGTCCCGAAATTCCCAAACTTTTCGAAAAAGGGAAATTGTAATTTCCCATTTGGGTTTGAAAATAATATTTGAATGGGTAAGGAAAAGGGTAGGGACGGGAATGGGATTACCCGAACTTCCCGTTGGGTAATTATATAAAGTGAAATTTTAGAGATTTTGGTTAACTGAAATTTTTTTTATAATAAATAATGATTTTTCCAATTTATTAACAAATAATAATTTAAAAAAAAAAAACAAAATTGATTTTAGTTTAATTATCCGAATTATCCGAAATTTTTCCCGTCCCTTTCCTGTTCCTTTCCTGTTCTTTTCCTGATTATATTTTATTTTGGGATTGTATGGATAGTATGTTTTGATTTTCGAATTTCCCATTTCCATCCCATACCCGTAAATTTCCCTCTCGTTATTTTGTGGGAATATTTTGGGTAATATATTTAGATTCCCGAAATTTCAATTCCCATCCTTTACCTGTCAATTCCCGTTCTAATTCCCGAAAAATTCAGGCCTAGTCACAACCACAGGTTATAACTAAACCGGTTTGTTTCGCTCCCAAAGTAACTACTCATCTCTAAACCAAGATTTAAATATAGTAGAAGCACATTAGCGTTTTGTGTTTATCTAACTGTGCTCACTTGCAGATGTCCAGAGGAATTATATATCCAAATGCAAATTAACAGAAAAAAGTAACAATAGTGAGACAAGAGTTTCGTTAGTAGCTTAGTGCACCTTTATAATGTAAAGATGCATTTCAACAAGAGTTTCGTTAGAATTTTGTATTCATCATCATATCAATAGTGCATTTCATAAGCAAATTGAGTGATATTATTGAATTGTTGTGGTAGGTAAAAAATAGTATAAACTGAAACTGACAGCTTAAGCAAGAAAACAAATTGAATTTTATTGGAAACAAATACTCCTACTTTCCAATAAAATCAATTTACTAGTAATGGTTTTCACATTTTAGTTGTACCGGAAAAAAAAACACTGAGATTTAGATAAAATATCTAGAAAGTTTGGGAACTAGGGAAAACTAGTTTCAAGGAAAGAAAAAAGACGCTTGTTTCTAAAAGTTTTAGATTCGATAGCATTTATAACCACATAAATAATCTTTTATATAAATTGTCCTCATCAATCTGCATCTTTCAAAAATGGCGTCCGAAGATGTTGAATACAAGTGCTATGTTCGCAATTTAGACGTGGACACGGAAGAAGATGATCTTGAGAATGTGTTTTCTCGGTTTGGCGACGTTATAGGAACTTATGTTGGTTTTTTCATTTTTTTTTCATTAATAAATCCAGTTAGGCGACGTATTGATTTTTTTTTGTTAACAATTATTCTGAATTATGTTAGTCATTGTTTCATAGGTCGTTTATCCATCTGAGTATGATGAAGATCATTCAATGGCATATGGATTTGTTACTTTCAAAGACGAGAAATCCATGAGGGATGCTATTAACGGAATGAACGGTACTCATAAGCTCGCCCCGCCATACACAACCATAACTGTGGAACAGGCTTACTCGTCTCGCAAAAGTTGTCGTCGTCACGGTGTTGGTCCAAAGAAGAAGAAGGCATGAACCCAAGTTTCATAAGATATATATATATATATTTGACAATGTTTCATAAGATATATATATATAATAGAATTATATAATAAGCTTCTAGGCTCCCCTTTATAATATATCACTATGTGATTGTTTGGGACGTGGTGCTTTGAATCAAGTATTAATTATTTATTAGAAGATTATTTATGTGATGTGACAACGCTATTTAATTATAAGAATTGTTAACGAATAACGATCTCTTCATTAATTATTCCCTGTAACAAAACTTTAGACCGATTCCAACTTCTATATTAACAATTACGGGTTCATATAAATCTTGGTTTAGGTTCAATAACCTGATTCTGGTTCACAAGTTAACATTAAGAAGTTCACAGCAATCGAGAAAGCTATGAAATTGAGTCAAACGTCTCTAAACGTGACGTACAACTTGTACGGTACAAGTTGCAAACTAGTCTTTTATAGTAACTTTTGTTAATTTGATACTGTAAAGAGTGGGGATATCACGCACAAGATCACAACCACAGGAAAGCTGATATTCTGACTAAAGCACTTGGAAGGATCAAGTTTAAAGAAATGAGAAACTTCATTGGAGTTAAAGAGATGATCAAAGAAGACTTCAAGCTTAAGAGGGAGATTGTTGGAGTAAGCTTGAGAAAAGCTTGAAGAGCAAGCTTCTAGATTGTTCTAGATTATCTTTAAGTAATGTTTCCTAAAAGTGTTAAGGTTAGGAAAAAGGAAATTAGGAGTTATCTAATTCCATTAAGTTTAGGAGTAGCTAAACATCTATATAAGGAGATGCCAATGTGTGGCATAACTTATGAGTTTTGTGTTTTGGATCTTTAGGTTTTGAGAGAGTTTCCTAAAATTTAATAAAAGAGAGTTTTATTAAATCCTCACTACAAGAAAACAGGTTTTCAGCGACGAACAAATCAATCGCAAATCAGTCGCTATAAGTGGTTTTGCGACTGAGTAGCGACTAAACAAATTAGTCGTTAATTTAACGTCGCTAAAATAAAGAGTCGCTAATCAGTCGCAAACTAATGACTAATTCGCGACTACTTAACGACTACGTCATTCAGTCGTTAAATAGTCGGCACTTAGTAGTTAATTTAACGACTAATAAGTGACTGCAGTTGTGACTAATTAGCGACTTTTGATTCGGTCGTCGGAACGTCGTGTAAATTCAGTCGCTAATTAGTTGCGAACTTTGTGACCATTTTGCGACTGCTTAGTGGTCGTGAAAATTCAGTCGCGAAATAGTCGCAGTATATAACGACTGAATCACGACTACTTTGCTTTCACTTTAGCGACTGTTTGAAGACTGATATCACCAAAAACGTGATGTTTTGTTATGGTTTAGCGACTGATTTCCGACGAAGTCGTGACTACTTTACGACGAAGTTGTGACGAATTTGCGACTACATAGATCAAACGGATTCAGGTTTGGTAATCCATTATATTTCCTATTTTCATTTGATCAAATTTGTTCATTACACCAAAAAGCTAAACTCGAAATCAAATAATTAGAAGAACTTGTAAAAGCAAATATATATTACATTAAACATAGGCATTGTTCCAAAATACCAAAATAGACATTGTTCCAAAACATTGTGATCAAAATACCCAAATAATACATAGCATATCATTGTGATAAGTTCTTAAAGAGAATAAAGGAGCAAAGAAAAACAGAGGCCAACCAGAACCTAGGGAGTTGTAGAGTGATTAGGTGAAGGCATTGGATTACTTGAAACTTTATTTGCAGCCACAAAATCTAAGAACCCTGGATCAGTTTGAGTCAAGTACCTTTCCACCAGAGCTAACTTGTCGATTCTGGCTTGTTGCTCAGCAGAAACTTTGAGAAGCTCTGCCTCACGCCTTGAGTTCTGATCTGCTTGTTCTTCTATTAGGCGTTGAGCTTCTTGAAGCTGCTCCTCGAGACCCTTGTATGTTGCCGAGGTTCCTGGGTACTTCCTTTTTCCAGTCGTTTGTGAGAGGCTTCCAATTCCATAAGGAATGCCTCTTTCATTTGTGAAAGTCGCCTGCAAAACAGTATTAGAATAACAGAACTGTCAAAATCCAAAGAATAAAAGCATATCATAAAAGACAATGTAAAAAAAGTATTTACCTGAAGAAAGAGTTCATTTTCCTCTTCTACGGACAGCACCACAGGCGGTGATGTACCATCTGAAGTCTCGGAGTCTACCCCAAGATCAGCCATCTTTTCTTCCAGTTTCTTCTTATACGCTTCAGCCACCGTCTTGGACTTTCGGTCTACAAAAGTGCCATCCGATTTTGTATGAGTCTTGATGAAAACTTCACCAAGACTCACCGGCCTTCCAAGTTCTTCTTCCTGCAATGAAAAAAAAAGTCAAACAAAAGAGTTTAAAGATGTATAGACATAAGTGATGAATGAAAAGGGAAGAGAACTAACCATCTCTTGTTGGATTTGTATGTACGACTTCTGGCCTGAGAAGTGGACATGAGGTCCAAGACCATCACGTTCAGACATCCTTGCAGCTGATGTAGTGGCACTCTTTTCCTTGGCTTCTTCAGTGTTCCAGTATTCATTCATTTGTTTCCAGAGAGTGTCGCCAATCCAGTTGGGCTGCTCCCGAGTAGTCCTTGCCTTGCTCACCATATCCTTCATCCGATTGAGACAAATGCTCTCAAACTTTTCTTGGACAACACCGGTTACTAATGGATCCCAAGTGTGTGTTTTCTACATTAGAAACATAGAAAATGGTATTAGCAAGTGAAAAAAACAAGTCAAATTAATCAAAGGAGAAGAAACGATGAAGTCTTATGCCACAAATGCCTCAAATGCCTCAAATGAATCAAATGAGTAGAAGATCTTTTAAGCGAGCCTAAACTAAGAAACATCTAATCTAATGCCTCAACTAACTCAAAGAATGAAATGCCTCAATAACTTCAAATGAAGCAAACAAAAAATTGCTATAAATAACTCAAACGACTCAAACAAACAATTGCTTCAAATGCCTAAAATGACTGAAAATCATCAAAGAAACAAATGAGAATAAGAATGAAATACTTACCGCAAATTCAATGAAGTACCGTTCTTGTCTCTCTCGAGGCACACAGGTCCAGCTGTAAAAGGGACCGTCGAACTTGTTTGTAAAGATCTTGGTGATCTTTCGGGTAAGTTTAGATTTGTCCCGACCAAACCTACAAATTCAGATACAAACAAGTTACCAGTTATCAAAACATACATAATTGTTACCTAATCTAAGCAACGAATTCGCATACAACACCTAAAATCAAGTTCCAAACCTAAATTTGTAAACTAAGCAATGAAGTCGCATACCATATTGAAACCTAATCCGAGTTCCACACCCAATCAAGTTCAAACGTAAACAACTAAACTAAGCAATACAAGCTGAAAATGAAAGCATTACCATGTTGTATTAGGCTTCGGTAAAGGAGATAGGACTGTGGTGAAAGCTTCCCTTCCTGGTTGTGTAAGCAAAGCGTTCAGGATTCTCTGATGGTCAGGAGCGAGATCGGGGCTGAATAGAGCTTCTTCACTGTCGTTGTGGCCTTCATGGGAGTGCGAGTAAGTCCCTTCAGCATGCGGAGATGTTTCTTCTTCAGAGATTGCGGCTGGTCGGTGTTCGGAGTTATGGGAGCTTCGGGGTTGAGGCGGTTGAGTCGACGGAGCATTAAGCGGCGGAGAAGAGTTTTGATGTTGGCTGCGGTTCTGGAACAGATGCGTCGGTGGTGGATAATCTCTCACCGAGATCGACGGTGCCCTCTCCGGTTGAAGCGGTGGTGGAGACTGGTTAGACGGCGACAGAGTGAAGGCGTATCGACTTGGGAGAGGCGTCTTTGCAGTCGATGCCTTTCCACCTCCTCTTCCTTTCTTCGAACGACGAGTAACCATCGGTTTGTGGGTTTCGGATCGGTGGAGAAGAGAGAAAGAGTGAAGATAAGAGAGAATCGGTGTGGGTTAGAACTTAGAATCGAAAAACAGGTTGAGAAGAGAGAATCGGTGTGAGAGAAGAGGCGGAATGATCGAGAGAAGAGAAAGAGGAATTAGGGTTTAGTCGTTTAGATCGACTAGAGGGAAGAAGAAATTTTGTTAAGTGTTAGTGGCCTTAGGATTTAGTTAGTGGGCTTCGGGTTAATTTAGGGTTAGTGGGTTAATTTTAGTTAGTGGGCTTAGGATTTAGTTAGTGGGCTTCGGGTTAATTTAGGGTTAGTGAGTTAATTTTGGTTAAGTATGGTTTAATTAGGTTTTATGGGTTAACTAAATTTTAATCTGGTTTGATATGGTTTAGTTTTATGGTTTAATTTGGTTTTAAGATTAATCTTAATCTGGTTTAATTTTGATTTAGTTAAATTGATAATATCAACTAATATCAAATGATTTAAACAATTTTTAAAAAAATGAAATTGGTAATGTTCATCTTAATCTTCATCATATTATCAACTAGTTTAAACAAAATAATTAGTAAGGTTCATCTTCATCTTCATCATCATCTGAGGATGATAAGTTACACTGAAATTCATCAGCTGGTTCTGCATCTTCAACATCAAAATCAAGATTTATGGAGTTTACTCCGAGTACTCGATTATCGACCACAAGATCCTCAATTGTAGTCAGCATTATATCATCATCATTTACTTGTTGTAAAAGAGTTGGTTCTTTCTCTTCATAATCTCCATTAATGTTTCCTCTTGGATTTACTTTTACCACGTTCAACCACAATTGCTTCGGTTTCTTTCGGTATGGATAGGGAATATAACAAACTTGGTCAGCTTGAGAAGCTGTGGAAGATCAGCAAAATAAAAAGATTCTTTCAACAAAAAAACATATATATTTTAAGTATATATATATATATATATATATATATATCAACATACCTAGGATAAATGGTTCGTACTTATTGTATCTTCTTGATGAATTAGCGTCAGTGACGCCACCATTGTTTCTTCGTGTGCCTCTATCAATAACAGGGTCATACCAATTACATTTAAAAAGTGTGATTTTCAAATTTACCATTCCCTCGTACTCGAGTTGTATGATATCAGTTAAGATTCCATAGAAATCGGCTTCATCAGATGTATCCGTATAATTTTCTCCTTTCACACATATCCCATAGTTACAGGTTTTTCGGTCCACACCATGCTTCTGCGTATGAAACAAGTATCCCCTAGTGAAGTAGATGGGCCACGTTTTAGCCTTATTCTATATGCATCACATCAAGATTATGCCGGAGATTAAGGTCCCTCCAGTACGACAACTCCCAGAAACTACTTTCTTTGTGCCAGTTGTGCCACTTACCATATCCAGCCTTCTTTTTTTCATGACCATTTCCACCGCACTCAAATGTTCTACCAGGATTCACAGATTCTATCCGCTCAGAATATATTTGCTCAGCAGTCAAAGACTCTGGTGGGTAGTCACTCATGCCTTTACCCTTCAAAAAGTCTTTTTTATTTTTTCTTAATGGATGATCTTGTGGAAGAAACCTTCTGTGACAATCAAACCAACATGTCTTCCTTCCATTAGGGAGATAAAAAGCCTTTGTATCTTCCATGCAAATTGGACAAGACAATTTACCATGAGTAGTCCATCCTGATAACATACCGTATGCTGGAAAGTCACTTATCGTCCACAGCAGCACAGCTTTTAAATTAAAGTTTTGTTTCAGGGACACATCATATGCATTCACTCCAGTAGACCATAGATCTTTTAACTCATCAATAAGAGGTCGGAGGAATATATCAAGACTGGCTCGTGGATGATTTGGCCCTGAATTCAATATCGTCAGGAACAAATACTCTGTCCTCATGCACATACCAGGAGGTAAATTATATGGGGTCAAAATCACAGGCCATAAAGAATGATTACGAGACATGCCAAATGGATTAAACCCATCTGTACATAATCCAAGATAAACATTTCGGGGTTCTTCAGCAAACTGAGGATGTAGATCTTGAAAATATTTCCACTCAGCAGCATCAGAGGGATGTGACATTTCTCCATCCTTGGCTTGGTGTTCAGCATGCCATCTCATAGCCGCTGCTGTCTTCTCGCTCTGATACATTCTCTTTAATCTATCAGCTATAGGTAGATACCACATACGACTATATGGTATTCTGGTTCTTGATCGCCGTCCTTCCTTGACTTGCTTATATCTTGGTGCTTGACAAAATTTACAGTTCTCCCAATGTTCGTCCTCTTTCCAGAAGATCATACAATTGTTGATACAAACATCAATTTTATGAAAAGGAAGGCCTAGGTTTCCCATCAATTTCTCTGTCTCGTAATGAGAACTGGTTGCTTGATTTCCATCTGGTAAATACTCAGTAAACAATGCGGCCCATGAATCCATACATTTTTCACTCATATTATAATCTATCTTATTTTGCATGAACCGAGCAGCTAAAGATAACTGTGAATGCCCTTCATGACAACCATCGTATAATGGTTTTTTCCCAGCTTCTAACAAGTCGTAAAAATTTTTGGGATGATTACGTACAGGTTCTTCTACATTTTCATTACTCTCATCTAGACAATAGCTATCATCTTGACGAAAATTATCACAAAATGCATCATTCACCATATCCACATATCTATCTTCAGCTATATTATCCATTTTTTCTTCACTCCCACTTAGATGACTGTTATTATAACTAGTTCCATAATCCATAGTTATTTCTTCCCTATGCTTATACCAAACATAATAATCTGGCATGAACCCTTTACTGTATAGATGATTCCAAATCTTACTCCCCAACAAAAACTTGTTTTATTGCATACACTACAAGGGCAGAAAAATTTACCACAATTGCTTTGTGTTATAGTCTGATTATTTGCAAAATTCATGAATTGCTCCACTCCTTCTATAAACGCATTCGAAAAATTACCCGTCTTTTCATCGATTCGGTTATACATCCAAGCTCTAAAATTATTATAATTAAAATTATAACTCTCTTTCTATTATAAGAGTTTTTTTTTTCTTAACTCTTTTTTCACCTTTTTTGTAAGAAATATTTCTTACAGCTAAAGGAATTTTATAAAGTAACTACCAAAATGATAGCAAGCATACTAATGAAGTGGAACGTAGATGGGATCTCAATATATAGAAAATTTTGCGACTAATATGCGACTGTTTTGTCACTATATTGCGACTGCCAACGGTTCGTCGCGAAAAACCGGTACAACCACCCTAAAACGTATTACACGTGTTAAATAATACCGACTCGCCGCATATGTCGCAAATTAGTTGCAACTTTATCGACGTTTTAGCGACTGATTAATCGTGACTACATATTAGTCGCTAATCCGTCGTTAGATAGCGACTAAGAAGTGACGACATTCGCAATCACTATTTAGCGACATTTTGGCGACTGATTTTCCGCAGTCGTAGGGTCGTCGTTAATAACTTATGAGTTTTGTGTTTTGGATCTTTAGGTTTTGAGAGAGTTTCCTAAAATTTAATAAAAGAGAGTTTTATTAAATCCTGTTCTTGAGCCAAAGTCGATATTAGTTGCAAACTAGGCTTTTAGTATAATTTTTGTTAATTTGATACTGTAAAAAGTGAGTATCTATATTACGCACAAGGTCACAACTAAGCCTGAATTTTTCGGGAAGGGTAACCCGTCCCGAAACGTATCCGTCCCGAAATTCCCAAACTTTTCGAAAAAGGGAAATTGTAATTTCCCATTTGGGTTTGAAAATAATATTTGAATGGGTAAGGAAAAGGGTAGGGACGGGAATGGGATTACCCGAACTTCCCGTTGGGTAATTATATAAAGTGAAATTTTAGAGATTTTGGTTAACTGAAATTTTTTTTATAATAAATAATGATTTTTCCAATTTATTAACAAATAATAATTTAAAAAAAAAAAACAAAATTGATTTTAGTTTAATTATCCGAATTATCCGAAATTTTTCCCGTCCCTTTCCTGTTCCTTTCCCGTCCTTTTCCTGATTATATTTTATTTTGGGATTGTATGGATAGTGTGTTTTGATTTTCGAATTTCCCGTTTCCATCCCATACCCGTAAATTTCCCTCTCGTTATTTTGTGGGAATATTTTGGGTAATATATTCAGATTCCCAAAATTTCAATTCCCATCCTTTACCTGTCAATTCCCGTCCCAATTCCTGAAAAATTCAAGCCTAATGACAACCGCAGGTTATAACTAAACCGGTTTGTTTCGCTCCCAGAGTAACTACTCATCTCTAAACCAAGATTTAAATATAGTAGAAGCACATTAGCGTTTTGTGTTTATCTAACTGTGCTCACTTGCAGATGTCCAGAGGAATTATATATCCAAATGCAAATTAACAGAAAAAAGTAGCAATAGTGAGACAAGAGTTTCGTTAGTAGCTTAGTGCACCTTTATAATGTAAAGATGCATTTCAACAAGAGTTTCGTTAGAATTTTGTATTCATCATCATTCAATAGTGCATTTCATAAGCAAATCACTGAGAAATTTTGAGTGATATTATTGAATTGTTGTGGTAGGTAAAAAATAGTACTCCCTCCGTTTCACAAAGAGTGTCGTTCTGACAATCTTCACACAAATTAAGAAATAAGATAAAAAGTCTTTTATACCCTTATTAATTTGTAGAAAATGACTTTTGGAATCATATTTATAATTAATTTTCTGAATTTATTGAGGTTAAAAATGATATTTTATGTTAAAAATTACATTGAAATTCTAAAACGACATTCTTTTTGAAACAAACATAAAGTGTCAAAATGACACTCTTTGTGAAATGGAGGGAGTATAAACTGAAACTAACAGCTTAAGCAAGAAAACAAATTGACTTTTATTGGAAACATATACTCCTACTTTCCAATAAAATCAATTTACTAGTAATGGTTTTCACATTTTAGTTGTACCAGAAAAAAAAAAAACACTGAGATTTAGATAAAATATCTAGAAAGTTTGGGAACTAGGGAAAACTAGTTTCAAAGAAAGAAAAAAGACGCTTGTTTCTAAAAGTTTTTAGATTCGATAGCATTTATAACCACATAAATAATCTTTTATATAAATTGTCCTCATCAATCTGCATCTTTCAAAAATGGCGTCCGAAGATGTTGAATACAAGTGCTATGTTCGCAAGAATGCGTTTTCTCGGTTTGGCGACGTTATAGGAACTTATGTTGGTTTTTTCATTTTTTTTTCATTAATAAATCCAGTTAGGCGACGTATTGATTTTTTTTTTTATAACAATTATTCTGAATTATGTTAGTCATTGTTTCATAGGTCGTTTATCCATCTGAGTATGATGAAGATCATTCAATGGCATATGGATTTGTTACTTTCAAAGACGAGAAATCCATGAGGGATGCTATTAACGGAATGAACGGTACTCATAAGCTCGCCCCGCCATACACAACCATAACTGTGGAACAGGCTTACTCGTCTCGCAAAAGTTGTCGTCGTCACGGTGTTGGTCCAAAGAAGAAGAAGGCATGAACCCAAGTTTCATAAGATATATATATATATATTTGACAATGTTTCATAAGATATATATATATAATAGAATTATATAATAAGCTTCTAGGCTCCCCTTTATAATATATCACTATGTGATTGTTTGGGACGTGGTGCTTTGAATCAAGTATTAATTATTTATTAGAAGATTATTTATGTGATGTGACAACGCTATTTAATTATAAGAATTGTTAACGAATAACGATCTCTTCATTAATTATTCCCTGTAACAAAACTTTAGACCGATTCCAACTTCTATATTAACAATTACGGGTTCATATAAATCTTGGTTTAGGTTCAATAACCTGATTCTGGTTCACAAGTTAACATTAAGAAGTTCACAGCAATCGAGAAAGCTATGAAATTGAGTCAAACGTCTCTAAACGTGACGTACAACTTGTACGGTACAAGTTGCAAACTAGTCTTTTATAGTAACTTTTTGTTAATTTGATACTGTAAAGAGTGGGGATATCACGCACAATAAAAATGAAACGGCTAAGAGATATGGGATCATTTTCTTCTATCGTAGTACGAATTGTTAGATCTTGATCATCTGAGATACCAAGGAAATTATGTATAACACATAGAGAGCTTTAAGAAAAAAGATTGTCCATGCATCTATCTATTCTATTAAAACAGAAGCACATTTAGTACTTGCATCCAAACACTTCCAAAGTTTTTTTTATAATATTTTATTTTATTTTTATATTTAATTTCCGAAAATTAGTTATTAGTTTAGATATTTTTAGATTTTCTAAAATCTAGGTCATCTTTAATTTAAATTTCAATTTAATTAAATTTAGTTACAAAAATTTGCGTTCAATTTAATTTAAATTCAAAAAATTCAAAAAAATATAATTAAATTTTATTACAAAATTTAGATAGTAATTTTAGTACTTTATAATTTCTTAAAAACAGAAAAGATTTAATTTTAAAATTTAAATTTAAATAATATTTTTATAAAAATGCATAGTAAATAAATATTTTATCGTATTTTATCATAAACAATCAATCTAAAATATTAAATATTTGAGATTAATAAATATTTCTATTATACAATAATATGATCGAGCTTATTAGAGTTATATATATATATATATATATATTTAAGGTTCATGAGTTAATTTATTAAAACATGTAAGATATTAAGATGATTTGAGACAATTAAACTAACAGGTTAATATATATATTTTTTTTTTTTAATAGCACAAATAGTAAATAAATATCTTTTTATATATTTTCATAATCAATTGGTCCAAATATTCCATATTAGTAAATATTTATAGGGTTATACAATTATAATTATAGTCTTATACGGGTTAGTTTGTCAAAACATGTAAGTTATTAAAAATGATTTAAGACAACTAAACGGATGGATTAACAAATTCATAGATATATAGATTGTTTATGTGTAAATCTAAATTTACATAATAACAAAGTTTATAATTAACATTAGATCAATGTATACTTAATTAACATATACTCTTATTCTACTAATATACAAATTTTACTGTTTAAAATTAAAATATAATAACAATTTTTTGATTAAAAAAAATAAATAACAAAAATAAATTATATCTAAACAAAAATGATAAATGCAACTTATATTAGAAATAAAAAATCAAACATTCTCGTGCGGACGCACGGGGTTAAAATCTAATATCTTTATTATACATAATCACGAGTCACTTCACCAATGACATGGTGACATGTGGTTGAGTAAAAAAATAATTTAAACGTTAAAAACCAAAAACTATCATTTTAAAAATCCTATATTATCTCATCAAAATCCACGATTCCACGATTTGCTAAACAGTTTCCTCTCCTCTATCATAAAACTCACCGTAACTGTAATTCATTTTTTTTGGGGTCAAATTTAAAGATTAAATCGTAATTAACATATTAAAAAAAAATCCAAAACCCTAATCCTCTCCCCTTTTCTATAAATTGAATTCAACTTCTCACAACATTTTTTTACAAGTTTCTCCTTATTCTACATAGAAACCCTGATTAGTCGTTTTTTTTTTTTCAAATGGCTTCAGCAGATTCTGAGTTCAGGTGCTTAGTTCTCGGTGGACAGAGAAACGGATGCAAATGATCTGAAGAGAGTCTTTTCAAAGTTTGGCAACGTTATCAAATCTGAAGTCAGTCACGCCTTGAACATTTAGTTATTATTTTACGTTTGTGCATGAACATTTTGTCAGATACTCTTTTTACTGATCTGTACCGTTTATCTTAATTTGTTTCCAAAAGATCACGTTTATGAATGGAACATCGAGAAGATTTGGTTTTGTTACTTTTGAGGACGAGAAATCGATGAGAGATGCCATTACACGGTCCGAAAGGGTTTGTTTGCTTTGTTCATAATCTGAACCGCGATACTGATGCAACTCGTCTTGCAAGAGCATTTTGCATGTTTGGCGATGTTACAGATTGCGAGGTCTACTTTAATTAGGATTTGGTTACTGTATATTTGTTTACTTTTTTTTTGTTGTTGTTTCTGTATATTAATCATTTTGATATCTGACAATTCACGATTAAGTGTCGGCTTTGATTGTTTTTTCATGATTTTCTATGTATTCGTAGATCATTTGCCGTCCTGGGACAGGAAAATCGATACGACATGGTTTTGTTACTTTTAAAGAGGAGGAATCGATGAGATATGCTGTTTTGATGATGGAAGGCATTGAGATTGATGGTAAATACATCCATGTGGAAGAGTCTCACAGAAATAATCGTGGTTCTCGATTCTTGACTGTGGAAGAGGCTCCTCCAGGCAGGACCCTGTACTTCTGAAGTGTCTTGCCCGTTCCCCAGGCTTTTTAAACAGTTTGAGAAGAGGACTTCGATATAAATAAAACGTTTTGTAGAATAATTGTCTAAAGCTTCTTGGTCTTTGTAATGGCTATCCATGAGATCATAACAACCAGTTAAAGTAAGCCAATTCGTTTTGCTCGACCATCTTCATGGGGATAGTCTATATATACCAAATTATTATCAATGTAGTACAATCTTCTCAATATACAAGTCAGGTACGTCTATTACAATCCAAAGTCTTGACTCCTGGCCTGTGATAGAGAAAGCAAGCCGTGTGACATTACAATTTGAACACAGCTATTTATAAGAACTGTAACGAATAACGATCTTGATTATCCCTTGTAACAAATCTTTAGGCCGGTAATTCCAACTTCTTTATAAACAATTACCGATTCCAACATGTAAAGGTCACATGCCGTTTTTTTTTGTTGGTATGTTCAGTTAAACTGCGGCATGTTCAGAGATTTCGAAGCTCAGTGGGAGCAACCGTGTTGTGTTCCTGAATGTTTTGTGTCGGGTCTCGAAACAGTTGAGTGGATTGGGTACCAAGGAACAGAAGCAGAGAAAGAAGCGGCGATTTACATGTTAAAGAAGGCAAACCACCTAAAGAAGATGACATTATCCCGACAAAACTCCAATCTGAGGGAGAAATACCATGTTTTTTTAATAAGAGAATCAAACATGTAGATCCATGTTTATGTAAGTACAATAGTGTAATATATAAATTGTTTCAAACATGTCTCTATGAGTGAAATAATTTTATAGTTCGGACTGGTAGTTTAGAAGATAATCGATACTTAAATAGTTAATACTTTAGACTTTAATTGGCAATTATAAAAACATAATAGGAATGAATAGGAAGGGAATGAAGATACATAATATCTTATTGTTTTTTGTTAAATTTGGTTATGAATATTTTTGTTCTATAATTTCCTAAAAATAAAAAAATGATAAGGAATAGTGTGTAAAAAATTTTTTTTTTATAAATAGTGTATTTTATGAGGAACAAAAGGAATGTATATAAATAAATTCCATATAAATGATATATTTTTAAGGAATGAAGAGGAATTTTATTAATTCGAGACTGATAATTTAGAAGATAATCGATACTTAATAGTTAAAACCCTAGTCTTCCATGTGAATATTAGAAATATGATAGATTTTTGCATGAGCCAAACAAATTCAGAAGTTAGTTTTACTAGATTGAAAATAATAATGGGATTCAAATCTAAATTTTGGGTCAATGCATGCACCTCTGAAGACTTGCTTCTTAATCATAGCATGCTCTATTTTCGTTTGATATTAAAATCAAAGTGTTCCTTTTGATTATTGTACCCAAGAAGACATATATCACATTAAGGGAATGAACTTTCAGAAGCTTGGTTTGGGAAAGACTTTCGAGTTTTGATTCTTCAGATTCTTCAGAAGAATTAAAGGGGAATAATGTCTCAGGTTCAACAATAAGGGGAAATTAAAAAAAAAAGAAGATTTACTATAACAAAACATCAAAGTTGATATGGCCGAGTTGGTCTAAGGCGCAGGATTAAGGTTCCTGTCCGAAAGGGCGTGGGTTCAAACCCACTGTCAACAATTGTTTTTTTCAAATATATATATTTTGAGTTTATTTTCGGCCTAATATTAATTCTGGGCTAAGATTCTGACCCAATTAGGTTTTTCTCTTATGTCCAAAAATAAATTTCCGGCCCAGTGTCAGTCGGCTCAGTGATCTGAATACGAGATGAGACTTACGGGGTAAACTTGTCATTTCATTTAGCAGATATTTCTACCTGACTAGATATTTTTCTTGGAACAAGCGGAAAGAAAAAATATCTTTTCCTGCATCGTCTTTCCATTTGCGCATTAATCCAAAAAAGTGTCACGTGAGGTGTCTCCAACCACCACCATTTTAAACCACACGCTTAACCATAGTTAAACCAAATTTCATTAAAAACCGACTCTAACCCTAGAAAATATCTAACCTTGGTTAAATATCTCAGCCCCATTATAAAGAGATTCTTCGTCTCCCTCACTCATCACTCAGATCTCTCCACTTCTCTTTTTTTAGATCTTCTCTATCATTTCTCTCATTCAATGGCGTCCGCAGATGTCGAGTTCCGGTGCTTCGTTGGAGGCCTAGCTTGGGCCACTGATGACAGAGCTCTCGAGACTGCCTTCTCTCAGTACGGCGACGTTATTGATTCCAAGGTCCGTTACACGCAGAGATCGGACTCTCCGGGATTCCGATGATTCTGATCCTCGACGGATCTGTTCCGATCTGTGTTTCTCTGTTACTTGATTCGAATTACTGTTACTATGCATGCTCTCTCTCTCGTTCTTTGTTACTCTGTTACTTGTTTTTCCCAATCGGTACGTTCATCTTCCTGCTTTTATGAGCCCGGAGATCGATCGTTTTCTTTTTGAAATTTTTTGGCTCGATTTGTGTGTCCGTCTGTGTTGGATTATTTGGCTGATCTGTTTCGTTTTTATGTTTCCAGATCATTAACGATCGTGAGACTGGAAGATCGAGGGGATTCGGATTCGTCACTTTCAAGGATGAGAAATCCATGAAAGACGCCATTGAGGGAATGAACGGACAGGAGCTCGATGGTCGCAGCATCACTGTGAACGAGGCTCAGTCACGTGGAAGCGGTGGCGGAGGCGGCCGTGGTGGTGGTGGCGGTGGATACCGCAGCGGCGGCGGTGGCTACGGAGGTGGTGGCGGTGGATACGGAGGTGGCGGCGGAAGACGCGAGGGTGGTTACTCTGGTGGTGGAGGTGGATACTCCTCAAGAGGAGGTGGTGGCGGCGGAAGCTACGGTGGTGGCAGACGCGAGGGTGGTGGATACGGAGGTGGTGAAGGTGGTGGTTATGGAGGAAGCGGCGGAGGTGGTGGTGGTTGGTAATTAGATTAGGATTTGAGATTGTGACTGTTCTCTGGTTCTGGTTCTGCTTATGGTTTCTGGTTGTGGTATCTTTGGTTCTCTGTTTCTGGTTTTGCTATTTTGGATGTGACAGTTCGTGATTAGGTATCTGATATCTGGAAACGTAATGTTAAATCACTTTCGTTCGCTCATTACTTCTTGGCCAATTTCTTATCCAGTTATACATTTATGTCGTAATTTTGAATAATCCCAAGTAAATCGACGAAAATCATTAACATCAGAATTCGAATTATTCGGGAATATAGTCGGCCTGTTGAAACGCTCAAGTTGCTTTACTTGATCGATTAGTTTTTTATCCACCACTGCTCACTTTTATCGCGTTTTGTTTGCAACTGTTTATTTTATACAAATAAATTTTGAAGCTACACTAAAAATATCCTTAAGAGATTGGAGGCTCTAGAGAAGTTCTATAGATGAACTAAACTATACAACGCTAAAAAGTAAAGAGGTCAAACACTACTACTAAATTACTAATTGGAAACAAAAGAAAGCATTTTCTATTCAAGCAGGAGCGGCGTAAATCGTTTTCGGCCCTATACTTTATCTGAAGTTGGCATCTAAATTTACGGAATCATAAATAAAAATTTGCAAATACCAAAAAAGCGTTGGAGTCTAGACAGACAAAATAACATAGTCTATTAAATATCCGTTCACTGATAGAAGGGTCAATTTGTGAAACAACAAAGTAGTGGACTATTTTGTTTTTTTCAAGTGGAAGTGGTAATAGAATTTTGGAGAAGAACAAAGTTACAACCAACCATTTTGTTTTTTTCAAGTGACTAGTTAGGAAAAGAAAATAAAATAAAAGTGACTGGTTGTTGTGTTGGTTTTGTAATGTATACTAACAAAGTCCCTATGTATTTTTCTTGGAACGAAATGAATTTTTGGTGGGGTTTTAAGTGCAACTCGCTGGGCTAGTCACATGTCCAAGACGAGAGGGCCCATAAGAATTTCGCATAAATTTACATAATCTAGGGTTTCACAACCGGAGCACATGTTATGTTGATAATTAGTTAATTACTCTCCATCATAAAATATATTTTAACTATTTTTATCTATAAACAAAATAAATTAGATTTTAACCTCGTGCGTCCGCACGAGAATGTTTTATTTTTTATTTCTAATATAAGTTGCATTTATCTTTTTTGTTTATATATAATTTTTTTGTTATTTATTTTTTAAATCAAAATATTATTATCATATTTTAATTTTAAACAGTAAAATTTGTATATTAGTAGAATAAGAGTATGCGTTAATTAAGTATACATTGATCTAATGTTAATTATAAACTTTGTTATTATGTGAATTTAGATTTACACATAAAATCTATATATCTATGAATTTGCTAATCCATCCGTTTAGTTGTCTTAAATCATTTTTAATATCTTATATATTTTGACAAACTAACCCATATAAGATTATAATTATAATTTTATAACCCTATAAATATTTACTAATATAGAATATTTGGACCAATTGATTATGAAAAAATATACTAAGATATTTATTTATTATTTGCGCTATTAATATATATATATATATGTATATATATATATATAAAAACTCGCTAACCTGTTAGTTTAATTGTCTCAAATCATCTTAATATCTTACATGTTTTAATAAATTAACTCATGGACCTTAAATATATTTTTATATATATATATATATATATAACTCTAATCAGCTCGATCATATTATTGTATAATATAAATATTTATTAATCTCAAATATTTGATATTTTAGACCAATTGATTATGATAAAATATTTATTTATTATGCATTTTTATAAAAATATTATTTAAATTAAAAATTTAAATTAAAAATTTAAATTAAATTTCTCCTGTATTTAAGAAATTTTAAAGTATTAAAATTATTATCTAAATTTTCGTAATAAAATTTAATTATAATTTTTTTTTGAATTTTTTGAATTTAAATTAATTTGAATGCAAATTTTGTAACTAAATTTAATTAAATTTCTAATAATTTGAAATTTAAATTAAAGATGACCTAGATTTTAGGAAATATAAAAATCTCTAAATTAATAACTAATTTTCGGAAATTAAATATAAAAATAAAATAAATATTATAAAAAAAACTTTATGAGTATTTGGATACAAGCACTAAATGTGCTTCTATTTTAATAGAATAGATATGATCATACAAAAATAAAAATATCTCTATATTATTATTTGAGTAGACATTTACATAAATAAACATTTATTTATAAAATATTACAAAATATTTTACATAAATAAACATTTATTCATAAGATATTATCTAAATAAACTTTTAGTTATAAAGTATTACACAAATAAACTTTATAAATATTGAAAGCTCAATTAAAATATTCTTCTGTAAGAGATCGTTAAATATAGAGTTTACAGTTATTTTGAATATATATAGATATAAATCAATAATATATTTAGTTTCTTTACTTATTAAAATATTAAAATATACTCTATTATTTAAATAATAATCAATATATATATAAAATCTATTTATATACTTTTTAAAATATTTTTCATTTGCATTGTCATAATTAATTAGTATCATTTTTGAAAAACAATTCAATTATTTTTATATAAAAAAACTTGAAATATATTTTCAAAATATTTTAGTATATTGCAAAATAAATTAAGTAGATGGATTTGTCCATTTAGATAATATAACACATGTTATAGAATTCATTAATTAAATATGATAGTTTGATCTCTAATAAAATATTCAAAATTAAATTTTTATTTTATGGATATATATATTCTAATCTATGTTGGTATGTGTATAAGTATATATATATATTAACATCATATCACTTTCATATTTAAAACTACTAATAATTAAACTGCATAACAAAACTAATTCAAACTCATATTCGATAGATATATATACAAGTAAATATCGGTTGTGTGATATTTACATATATATTGTTATCTATTTGTCACCAATTTTTTTATTTATATTTTTTATTAAAAGATTTTTACCACTAATTTTAATTTAACAAAAAATTGAAATTAAATTTAAAAACATTTTAAAAAATATTACCCTTCACATTGTGCGTGTTAATTTATAGTTTAACAACATTTAGATTCATATTGTTCTGCTGGATATTTTTTTAACTAAAAAAAATCTTATATATACAGTATAAGTTTGCTTTATTGCATTAGTTCAGAAGAACTGAAAGGCAGCTTTACTACATGAATAAGAGTGAAACATATATAGAATATAGTCAATGTATTTTTGTAATCATCCAAATATTGCAATTTAACGTTGAGAGTTTACGTCCCGCCCTCTAATTTACAAGCCTTGTAATAGCCAAGTATTTGTGGTCTAATAGTTGAAACTTGTAACCTATGGTAATAAGTAAAGTATTTATGGTCTAGTAGTTGATACTTGTAATTAGAGGGCAGGGTGGATCACACATGTGTTTGGTCACACATAGACGTCTTAAGTGGACAAAAGAAACCTGGATTTCTATAGGCTTTGAAGATTAGATAGATTACAGATAGATTACAGATAGATTATAGATTACATAAAAAAGGATTCAATTATAGTAATGAGTTTAGTGTTGTAAAACTTATGGTAAACAGAGCAAAAGAAGAGAACCATTTTCTTTGTGGTCTTTGGGCTTAGTAGAAATTGAGTCTACGGCACTACGCTGCAAATACAAGATCAAACATAGAACAAAGGTATGATGAGTTCAGCAACAGCAACAAATTATTCTATAAACTTTGATGAACAGTACTAGATTGCTACTAATTTTTGGTAACAGAAAATCAACACGAATAATAACAGTTTACTGATAAAAAAAAAAAAAAGCAACACAAGAACACAATTCTCTGCTGTTAATAATGCATGCTTCCACTTACCCTGTCTCAGATAGATATAAGACGAAGATTAGCATCAATTGTTCAAAAGCAAAGATTAACATTTGTCCGGGTCTGTATATTCTCTTGTTAACCAATGGAAAACCCCTGATCATGGAGATTCTCCATTTTCGTAAGTTCTTTATTCAAAGATTCCCAATAAACAACAAAAAACAGGTACAGCAAAGATCTCTACGTTACTATATAATATTACATGCTACTGTGGCCGTTTAGGACCAGGCTTGTGTTTATATAGATACTATTTCCTTCAATGGGAATGCTCTATTTGGATTTCTGGCGATAAAATGCCATTTCCTTCTTTTATGTAAAGTTTGTCCGAATCCGAATTTGTAAAGGGATCATTCTTTTGGTGATAATAATATCTCACCACTACCACTAGGTTGAAAGTTCCTGAAGTTTTGTGTAATGATACTTTAGAACACACTTCCCAAACTGAGCTACAGAAACTTCCATTATAAAGGAACAAGTGATTACTTCATGCATGTTCGGGTTCTCCAAGTTGCAAAAGGAGCAAACCACTTGGAGAGGAATAAGAATACTTCTTGTTTTTTTTTTTGCTAGATTGGGGATAAGGATTCCAGATTTCAACATAAACTTTGTAACAAATAAAAGAAATAATGCTTATTCTCTATCTTTACCTTCCTTTCATTCAGATTCCTTGTAAGCTACTCCGGGTAAATTCTCAGCAATGATCACTGGGGCTGGTATCTACATCAAGAGATGTGAAAATCAAGATTTGAGATATAAGAATAAAACCCTCAAATCTTTACTGATGTAACTATTCATACTGAGAAAGTAAGAAGCAGAATATGCATCTTTCTCAAAACAACCAATTGACCATTTTTCTGTTACCTTCACTCACAAGTATCCCTTTTTTTTTTACAGCTAAAGAATTTACCAAAAGCTGAGGTCCAAATTAATGTATTTCGTTTACCATTTTAATACCTAGGCAAGAGAGTCGGTTTTGAAGAATAGTGACAATGAGAATATCAGTAGTGCAATGCCTACTTGCAGAATTTCTTGGCAACTTGCAAAATATTATCTTTGGAATATATTGTGACAAAAAAGCCTCATTGTTATTAAGATTTCTTTCCGGTTTAAAGTTTTCCTTTAAGAAGTTTCGCGCCTACCATGAAACTTAGATAATCATAACTAGATATCAAAATATAAACGTGGATATTTTTGATACACAAAAAGAAAAGATGTTATAAGGGCTTATATTGACATATATCCAGAAAGAGAGCAAATTAAATTATGTTCTTCCATCTCCCATAGCACCTATTTCCGAGAGAGGATAAGATTGAGACTCTAAACCAATGGATCAACTATATTTTGACTTTTTTACCCAAGAAAAACTATGTTTTGACTTAAAATCAAAAGCGGATCATATATGAACAACCTGTGTTGCAAGAAAGGAAAATCTACAAATCTTTCAAGAATGAAACAAATGCTATCCTTCCTGAGTTAAAATTAAACGACAAATGGACCATTTATAATTTTTTGTTTTTTGCTGACCATACTCCTATTAATAAATTAAGCATTATTTGATGTGACTTTTTTAGGTTGTAAAAGAACATTAAAAACAAGCAATGAAACAATCTGGCCTAGTTAAGCATCCTAATTTAGTTTCAGGACAAAAATATTTTTGCCCATCCCAAGCCTGGATTCTTACCAAACAAGGTAATTAACTGATCATTTTGAAACAAAAGTGCTGATAATACGACAACAAACCATTATCATAATGGGCTCTCATAAAGAGTGGATACAATTTCACCACCACAACCAACAACAACAACAACAACAATGTTACAGCTAAAAAAATATTATCAAATCACAGCAAGAGTTAGGCAGCTGTAAATATTTTCTTCCTCCCCAAATTCACCAAAGAACAGAAAACAAATTTAAATATCCAGCAAGAAAATAGGTGAATATTTAACAAATTAACGACCAAGAATCACATTTATAAAACATATGACCAAGAAAAACACAGTTGCCTAACTTCAAGGAGATGGACCCAACAGGCCAAGAAAATAAAACAAATAAGGTAGGTAAACAATGTTGACCTTTTTCTCTTAAACACAAAAATATCTACTGATTGTACGGAAGATCTATACAGCTTGATATGGTGTGTTCAGGACAGAGAGTATCCCGAGGTAATGGCTCTGCATGCCCCCACTTTCCTTCAAGAAGAATATATGTAAAGCCCACTTTTTTGTTTTGTTTTTGTGGATGCAAATTAATCCTCACAATGTTTCAAAAATCTTAATAAGTCAGTGAAAATCATCTGTTAACAGAGACTTGTCCCTAACTTTTATCCAAGACTTAAAACTTTCCTCGTCTTACAGGCACGGTACGTGAGCTTTGTTCTGTGACTAGAGACCAGACTGTTCCAAGAAGTAGATGACCAAAACTATCAAAGGTAGAGAGACTTTTTGATACATCACCTAAACTGTTTCTTCTGACTATTTTTTGTTTTGTTTTGTTTTGTTAAAGGGCCAAAATTTTGACTACAAGCTTAATCTAGAGAATGACATCATAAGTACACTAATTGGAAAGAAAAGTAAACATATTAGTTATAACATTTATAGGAAAAAAATATCTCTACCGATCGGGCATCATATGCCAAATGTGGATTGAGGGGTAATTAGTTTGGATCTTTGATACTGATCTCCACAATTTTTGATAATATTCTCCACAAAAGACTTAAAAAATTCAATCTGTTTTGGACAAGCAAAGATATCTTTAACAACTGGCACTATACCCCACCTCAACCTCGCTTTATAAAGAGCAAGGACTCTGCGACATCTGTGCAACATACCATCATTTCTTATAAGTTATTACACAAAAGAAACACTCTTCTTTTTTTCCCACAATGGCATCAAACACAATGTCTTCTTATGGCTCTGGCTCATGGACTGTTAAGCAGAACAAAGCCTTTGAGCGTGCTCTAGCAACCTATGACCAAGACACCCCTGACCGTTGGTACAATGTTGCTAGAGCTGTTGGTGGCAAAACACCGGAAGAAGCTAAGAGACAATATGACCTTCTCGTGCGTGACATCGAGAGCATTGAGAATGGACACGTACCATTCCCTGACTACAAAAGTAATGGAGGCAGCACCAAAGGCAGGCTGCGTGATGAGGAAAAGAGGTATTGTTTAACACACATTTTTATGCTAATTATAATTAATCAGCTTTGGTTATCCATATATAATAGCCCACTATGAAGATATTTGTATATCATGACAAGACAGACCAAATCAAACATAAAAAGAAAAAAGAAGGGCATGTCTGTTTCAAAATAAAGCTGTATACTTTACAAAGATTCTCATGTTAAACAATGGGAGTCTCTAAATCTGCCAAGTGTTTTCTTCTCAGGCTTTGAAATAACCATTGAAAAGCCCCCACAAAAAGATGCCTAGAATCATTCCTTGTTATACTTTCTTCTCTTAGTATTACGGTATCTAAATATCATTAAGTCATGATTCCCACATCTTGCCCAAGAAACTTCCAGAAACAAAATTAAACTAAACCCTAAACCCTCATCAAGAAACCAAACAAAAAAATACAGAGCTTTCTACAATTTCAATGATTTTCTCTTTTACATTCCTTCGACATGCAAATAAACAAGATTCTCAAATCTCTTAACTTGTTTTTGCAGGATGAGAAGCATGAGGTTGCAGTGAAACAACAAGCACCAAAACGTATGGTGGTCAAAAATAAAAAATGAGAATCACGCAGATCATCAGTTTGTGTTCTTGTCAGTGTTTCAACAAAAGTCTGACGAATTAAAGTTTTTGTATTGCTATTTCTCATGTTTCCCACGCAAGCTTAGAAGTTACTATCTAGCTAGGAGAAAATGGCCCTCTCGAATCCACCAAAAAAACAATCTGTATTTTTATTGGTTTTTCTTAATGGAAAAATCCCATTGTCTATTAATGAATATGCAGAAACGAATAATAAATTCCAAGGATTAAAGGTCACGGATCATGAGGAGAAAAAATAACCTCGAAATCAACGAATCAATCAATCCAATCACTATATGTTGGTTCTTTCTTCATTGTGGAATAATCCAAAGGTCATAAGCCAATAAAATATAGATTACGGAGAATCCAATAATGGAGAAGACATCAGAATCGGACAAGAAGTAATTCTCGAAGTTTACGAACCAAACCAACCAATCTCTATTTAAGGTTCTTAGAAAATATCGTATTTTTTATTCAATGTAAATGTTGATAATTGGTTTGGTCACGAGACGAGACGAACTCACCTCGAAATATCTGCAATTCTGATCGCGACCTTGCATAATCGATCGAGTGTTTAGCTTTTCTTATTTAAATTTAGGAATTTTCAAATACTTATCGTTTTTGTATTAAAAAATGAGCGCGAACTCGACAAAGTAGGTCACGTGGTGCAATTATGAAACGCAGATACTATACGGTATCGTACGTATAGACGAATTTGTGTCCACGGCGATATACGTATGTCTGGGTATTACTGTATGCATGTTTGTAAAATATAGAGAATTAAACATACATATTTATCTATTATATTAAAACAGAAACACTTTTATCGTTTGTTTCCAAAAATTTTTTTTTAAAAAAATATTTTTATATATATAAATTTAATTCCGAAAATTAAATATTAATTTAAATAACTAAAAATTTTCTTAAATATAGGATATATCTATAATCTATAGATATTAATTTAAATAGACTTCCTTAAATATAGGTTAGATTTAGTTTAACATTTGAAATTTAAGTAAGATTTTCCGAATAACATATATAATTGATAAATATTTTATTATATTTTTTAATCATATTCTATCAGATTAAAATTTCACATATTAAAAATAGATAAATATTAATATTATATAATAATTTGATAGGATAAGTTTTATAATTATGGTTTTATTCGGGTTAGGTTATCAAAGCATGCAAGATATTAAGAGAAAATTATTTTAAAATTAGTAAATATTTCTATTCTAAAATAGTATAAACGGGCGGGTTAGAATTATGGTTTCATAATCCTTTTTCAGATTAATAAAATGAACGAGTTAGAAATATATTTTTATAATAATGGTCACTTTTTGATTAATAAAATAACTGGGTTAAAATTATGTTTTTATGATCATGGTGGTCATAATAATACTTAAAATAATATATATCTAAACACAAATTTTTTTTACATCACTTATTAAAAAATTATATTTATAAAGAAAACATAAACTAAATTATAAATTTTGATTAAAACAAAATAAAATCTAGTCTAATTTTAAAAGTGCAACAAGTATAAGATAGTTCTTCATGCCATTGCCTTTATGATTTAAGATTGGCAATCAAGAAGTCAAAAAAATAAAAAATAAAAAAAAAAACCAAAAAGCGGGGTTTTACGAAGATATTATTAACACCCAAACACTTGAAGATATTTTTTGCACATCATAGAAACTTGTTCTGCAACTTCTAATGTTAAACAAGAAAAATAGGATTAATTTTTTTTTTTTTTGGTTAAAAGCCAACTACAAGTTGAGAACTTTTAAGATGAATCTGCTGCCTGAAGAGGCGCCTGAATCTTGACTTCCGTAGACTCAACCTTCTTCTCTTCAACTGCATTCGACCTCCCCATTATCTAGACAAAGGAACAAGATACGTTTAAGAGACAGTTTAACACTAAAAAATAACCAATAGCATTAGACAGATATTCATAAGATCGTTAATGTGATAGATGAATATGACAAAGAATGTGAGTCTGAGGAGATAAGAGAGAATTTGAGAAAAAAAACCTTGTCCATGGTGTTTTTGAAGCAAGTCTTGTGTTCATCCATTGAGGCATTGACAAATTCGTTGAAGTGTTCCTTGAGGTTTGCAAGGAAAGTTGCATTATCATCCTTCACATGCTTCCTGCAAGATGTCGAAACTGCAGGTTTTGGCTGGTTTTCGGTTTTAATGCTCTGAGTATCCATTTGTTCTTCTTCCTAAAACAAACAAACAAAGAAGTCTCTTAACACAAAGAAAATCTGAAATCATGAAGACCAAAAAGCCTCAAGAGCAAAGAATATACATTTTGCTAACCCTAAAATCTCACAAACATCACTTATCAAAAATATCAAAAATATTAAAAAACCAAAGGCCAATTGAGTACTCAACAACCAAAATTTAACAGGTGTAGTGTTCAATCAACCTCCTGAAGAAGAAAAGAAACATTTACTTAAAAGTGAAACCCAGAAAACATCATTGTTCAATAGAAGCGAAAGCAAATCCAAAGATAAACGCAGTTACACAACGATTGCTATAAGCATGATACCCACTAAATGTTCGACCAAATTCCTCACAGAGTACAATCTTTCAATTTAACGCAAATCCAAAACACAACTCGGGACTAATCAAAACATAGTACTTTGATGATGATTCAGATAATTCGTAAACAACAACTAGCTAGTATCAGTAATTACTCCTCTCTTGATCACAACTAGAGAGAAATTTAATGAAGAGAATGGAAACTAAGAATGTACCTGAATCGTTGGTTGTGTTTCTCTTTCGCTTCTTCTTCTTCTATCTATTTGCTTTCTCTGCAAACTCTCTTTGCAATTTCCTTTCTCTGCAAGCTGAGAGCTGATGTGTGTATATATATATATACACCTTTTCCGGTAAAAATCACCTGCGGGTACAACACGCAAAGCGAACTTGGCGATCAAGTCATTAAACGCTGCGTTTTCCTTTCAGTTCAACGGAAGGTCTCTATATAGTGGGCCAAGGCCCAGTCTGATCGGACCGTTTCTTCCAACTTTTTTTCTTCAAGTTTTGACCCCTTGAGTTTTTGCATGTACAAAACTACCCTGACGTAATCGTCGTATTGAAATGTATGTACATATGCATATCAAGTTAACATTGTTCTGAATTCAATTTTGACCCCTTACCTTTCGATAAGGTTTTTTTTTTTTTTTTCTGTTTATACAAATATTTTTCTATCTCTATTAAAAAACATACAAAACAATCTGTACGAATAAAGAGGCTCTTACTGCACAATAAGTCGTCTAAGATGATCAAGAAACACAGACAAGCTAACATCATCTGTGAAAACATTACTCTCCCCGGAAAAAGGAGCATTGCCATCACAAGGATTCAGTTTTGCTAGAAGAAAACGAGCCTGCAAGAAGCAAGCGCAAGAACCAATTACAACATTAGCAAGCAATCAATCAATATCTCTTTTGTACTGAAGAAGAAAAACATGAGCTGCTTTTACTACTCAGGATCAGTTACTACATCCAATCTAGCGGAAACTCTAACGTAGCCCAGGATTTTTTGCTGAATCTGGTCGGAAAATAGAAGAATGAGCAAATTTGAAGATTGTACCTGTGAACCATACTGATCGCATATGACAGTACGTGGTGTGGGAAACCTTTCGTTGATAATTGTGTCTGCACAGTCACGAGGTGACTGTAACAGATGCACAAATGCCTGACACAGAGAAGACAAGTTTCTTGAAAATCAGACTTTCACCAACTTTTATCATCTTCTTTTTCCAGATGATGGATGAGATAATACCTGGTGTTCAGGTTGATTTTGGTATCCAGCTTTTCGCCATTGGGCGATTGTAACACCGTGAAATATTACGAGTGTGAAGTATGAATCCAACAGTAGGATTCTGTCAGCTGCAATGGCTGACACATCAAGTAGAATTGGTTCTGGTGGTGAATGGAATGAGAATGAAACCAGTGAAGGTTGAATCATCACGATTGAGTTAGAAACGTTCTCTCTGTTCAAAATCATTCGAAAATATGCCGTCTCGTCCGGGCTGTTGTTAAAGACCTACAACATGGAAAGCCAAAGTTACCCCAAAAAAAGATAGAATTCAATTCGAGTTAGAGATTGTTCCAATAACCTTAAGTCTCACATGCATAAATGGACAGTGAAAACAAGTACCTGGACAAACTGAGATCGACGCAAGTGAAACACAAACTGCGGGAAAATCGATAACTGAGAAGGTACGCTAAATGAAGATGGATTGCCCTTTTGGTAATCTCCGAACCGTGAGCATAGATTTATCAAAGCTTTATCGGCCCACCTTTGGGGATTAAACTCAGGCTGTTAAAGATGAAGTAAGAAACCTAAGCAACACTAAATTATGATATGTTCTAACTAGCAGATATTCAGCTTAAGAAATCTAACTAGCAACGAGTACCTGAGTCTCCATTTTGAAAGAAATAAGTCGTGCCATGACTACGGCAGCTGCTTCTTGGTCAAAACCATTAGCCAACTCCTATACTTCACAAAGCAATTTTGGAGGAATAGTTAAGAGTCCATAGTTTAATGCAAATAGAAACAGGATCAGTCTAGCCATGTACAAAACCACGGAAGATTTCTCAAACATGGCTTATCACTATCTAGAATGGATACTAATTCGCTTGACAAGAACATATTTTGAAATAAGCCATAAAGTTTCACAATCTTACATGGCGTAGCAACTCAGTCCTCATCAATATTAACACAACCACTGATCATACTATCCCAATTTCATCCAGGACTTATCTATTTAAGACAATATATTCTCAACATACGACTCGAAACTCGCCTGTAAGCTTGCAGTTCCCATTACCCATCTTCTTGAAAGAGTTGTAACTCTGAGTCTTGTTTGACCAGTTGAGTGCTGATAACTGCAGAAACATGATTGTTGTTATCACAAAGTGTGCCCACCTCTCCATCTATAGCTTGATACAATGAATCTAGATGCAAAAATTACAAATCCCTTACTATGTTAAAAACTGGAAGTAAAACTGATTGCTCTGCGACTGCAAAACGACATCAGTGGTCTCCCTTTTGGCAATTTCAAAAACCAAACATATGGAAGTGTTTTTATCAAGTCCACACATCTTCCAGGCGCTTGTGTGCCCCTGACCGATGCCAGTGTCAGAGCATAACGGTCCTTTCTGGAAACGATCATCAGAAAGTAAAGTTATTGATCACAAAGAGCTCAAGGAAAAATAGACTCCTTCACACTTTTGAATGATACCTTTTCGAGAGATGCGCAAGGGCCAATAATTCCCTGAACTTTGACATCCTTTGAGCAGTTGATTTCAAATATACCACTGTAAGAAAGAAACAAATTATTAGAAACAACTCACTAAAGATGAACATAGCAGACAAGAAATTGTTCATCGTCGATAAAGAAAACATACATGAAAGTTAGGTAAGCCATTACCATGAGGACAAGCCTAGATCATTTTCACCTGACTGAAATACCCGCTTAAGAGAATCCCTAAATACCGAATGGCCAAAACTTTCAGCAAGCACCACACACCCACCAGTCTGCTCAACTGCAACTTTTAGCTCAGCAATGCCAACCTAGCGATGCACAGAACAAATTAAAAACGTAGCTACGAAACAAGAAAGACACTACGAACCAACTTCTCCATCCAAATCACCTGATCAACAGAACTCGCAAAAACATCAAGAATATGGCCTTGATGAACAAGTTGCTTCGCAAGCGTCTCATAGAAATCTACAGCTTTGTGATAATATGGAGCAGAATCTTTATCAATGTCCTTATGAGAACGAATTGGTTCAGAAAGCTCCCGAGATACAATCTAGCAGAACCACTCATAGGAAGATCATCAGCTAGCACCAAGATTCCAACAGAGAATAATGAAAGGAGAAGGGACTTACAGCTCCAGGGCCTTGAGTGGAAGGTCCACCTATAAAAGCCATGATTCTAGCAGCAGAGCCAGGAAAGCAAGCTCCTAAGAGACCAGCAGCGATACGGAGGGCAACACCGGTGCACCTGGCAGGACGGTGATCAGCTGCAACGGGCCAAGGATTGTTTCCCAGCTCCTCAAGAACCTAAAAACAGGAAGCAACTGAAGTTAGCTAATGAACAGTACACACAAAGTTGAAGTTAAGAGAAGATTAGTCAAAAGGCAGTGAAATTTACGGACAGCGTGAAGAGTAAACTGGCAATCGGAGGCTGGTAACAGAAACCGTGAAATGTCGTCGGAGGATAGACCATCTCGAGCACCGGCGATGACACCGGAAGAAGGTTTAGGGTTCTTGACGAAGAAACTCAACTGATCCAAGAGCTGATCTTTGGTACAGTCTTTGTTTCCATGGAAGAAGTAGGATTTGGTGCAGTGTGTGAATCCGAGCTCGTAGACGCGGACTAACGAATCGAAAGTAATGAGGCCGACGATGGATGTATCGGGGAGGAGATCCAGAGCTTGGAAGAGAGACGATTTGAGGAAATCGAGCTCTTCAGAGATCAGGCAAGTGTCAACGACGAACAGGAAAACAGGAGGAGAAGGAGAAGAGAAGGAATCGCAGAGATACTCGACGGTTGTGCAGTGAGGAAAAAGCTCAGGAGGGAGATTGTTATCGGCGATTGAGGAGTAACTCGACGGGAAGGGATTGCGATTGAAGCAGAAAGGACAACCCCAAATGCAAGCAGAGAAATCGACGACGGAGTAAGGGTTTAAGACGGAGCGACAAGTCCGGCAACGGAGAGGAGAGTAAGGGAGAAGAAAGGAGTGATCGGTGGAGGAGCGAAGAGGTTTGAGAGGTGTGTAAATGGCGGAAACTGGGATTTCGGAGTCGATCGATTGTTCCTTCTTCGTTCCAACGGGGATAATGTTCCATGGCATTCTAACACCATCTTGAGCTTCGAGCTCTCCGAATTCCGCCATGCTTGAAAACTTGTCTCCGTTCACAAGGAAACGCCAAGTGCTCGATTAAATGCCTAAAAGAACATTTCAGAACAGAGCACCAATAATGATTTCCCTCAAATTTCAGATCGAAAATGTAAATTAATAATTTCTGGTGGAAACAGAGAAGAAGGTTCCTGGATGAATTTGCAAGACTAATCTCACAGTTCGATTATTCGTACACACATAAAATGATGATAACTTCATTCTTGAGCAAGTGTTTTTATACACAAACTGGAAAAGTTGAAACTACAAAACCCAAATCAGAACACATACACGCACACACAGATGAAGAAGAAGAAGAACCCCAAAGAGATACGAACATGACGAAACAAAGACTTTAACTACAGAGAAAGATAAACAAACAAACAGCCTTTGTTCGTGGAAACACTTGTACAAAGACTTTAAATCTTTTTCTTCAAGGTTTTGGATCTCCTGATTGTGTCCAATCTACAATCGATTCATCTCCAGCTTCTGCATTTACAACACATGTAGGTTTACGTTTAATGCAAACGACTTTGAAAATCACTCGAGTTTACGATGATTGATTGTATATAGTAATGTTACCTTTCCCTGGAACGATTATGACGGGAGCGGATTTGCAATTGTGGAAACAATACTCGCTTACGCTCCCCTGTAGCATACTGCATAATCCAAAAGGTTAATCATCGAATCAAGAAAGCAAGAAACATCAAGACATTTAGATCACAGCTAGTATATTAGTCATCTTTAATAATATCTAACCTTCTTACTAAGCTCCGTCCTCGTGTACCCATAATTACAGCCGCTGGCTTCACTCTCTCTGCTTCCTTGCAGATTACACTACCAGCCTCGCCTTCAACAACACGAGCCACACTCTTCACCTAAACATAACAATTCAGTATCAAGCTTAAATCACAATGTCTTCACACAAAACGCACCAGATATTTTGCACTTACGTAGTTGATAGCAAATGCGACAACAGATACATAAGATTCTCCTGAAATTTCGCTTCTAAGCTCCAATATTACATATTTACATACTGTTTGTAACTATAGCCACCTGATTGTATTGGAGATTCTAAGACCCTAACTTTGCAATCAAGAAACAGTTTCTTCTCCAAACATTATAAGGCAACACAAAAGAGAGAGTGGTTACCATGGCAACTTGAAACGCCTCAACAGCGAGTTTCTCCATCAGGGCCTGGCTCGTCTCGTACACAACGTCGTTCTTAACACCTATGAGGAAAATTAAAAAACCAGCCTTAGAAGAAAATCTCCGATTTGAGATCTGGAACTGCAAATGAATACGGAAAACGAAACTATCTACGATTCAAAAGCGAGGATGTGGAATTAGGGAGAACGACGAACTTGAGACGGCGTGGACAAGGTGAAGAGTATCTGCGAGGCGACAGAAATGAACGAGAGCCCAATCAAAGGCGTGTTTGCTGTTGGGACCATGATCAACGGCTAAGATTACGTCTCTCCCTCTTCTTCTCTCTCCGCTCTCTCTCTCTAGCTCCGGCTCCGGCACCACCGGGATCAACGACGGCAAAACGACTTCCCTGACACTGTACTCTGCATCTTCCATCAAAGGCTCCATTTTTTCACTTTCGATTTATGGGTTTTTCGATTTCGGGTTCTGGGTCTTCGCGGTTTCAATGGATCGAGATATTGATTTTTTGGATTTTAAAGAAAGTTGCGTGTAGAGACTATTGGTTTGATTTTGATTTTTTTGGGTCATGCCAGTGATTCTTGTCGGCGGCTTTCCAGAAGAAATAATAATACGTGTCTCCGGTTTAGTAACGGCTTTTTTTTTTTGACCGGCCTGTTAAACCCGATTAATATTTTAACATGCTGCATAACGGATTAAATTGGACGAATTTAATGCGACCTTAAAGATTGGAACTTTGGTAATCTCTTCTTCTAGAGTTAATATCTTTTAAAAATTGATGTTTGAAATAGCTTATTTATTTTATTTTCTTTATTTTTGGTCGAACGGGTTTGATATATAGCTTATTATCTTTCTTTCTTTGATATAGCTTATTAGCTTATTAAAGTAAAATAGTAAATTGATACCCTAAAAGCATAATCCAAGTAGTAACCAAAAATCCGTTGAGCTTTTTGACCTTTGTTCGCCTTTTTTCAGTGATTCAATTGTGTCGTCTTGTACGTGGATATCTAAAAGAAGATGGCCTTTGACTTTGATTATGCTTTGATGTGTATATATTTATTTTTTAAAGGAATAGGTAATAAGCTATTTCCAACATCAATTTTTTAAAGAAATTAAGTTTGAAGGAATATAGACATTATTATAAGGTAATATCCGAACACTGCTCTGTATACAGATTTTTTTTTTCTTTTCCAATTATACATAGGTACGCATTATAGGTCTCTTTATGATTGCTCATAACCTAATACTAGTGCGGGAAGCATGCAAGCCGCCAACCTAACACGTTAAGTATATCTAAAGTATTATCTAGTTAAATGAACTTTTAAAATCTCTTTTTTTAATATATGTTATATAACTTCTATTAAGGAACCAAAATATATAATACATAAAATCGTATTTGTGCTACATGAATCTCAAAGAGTGAGCCATTAAAAAAAAAAGGAAGGAAAGAATAACCTTATCACTTATATGGAGCAAGCAACTAATCGTTGGGTATGCATGGCAATATAAACTTTTGGGAACATTTTGCGTATTGTAAACCGAACTTCAAGCAGCTTACTTGCGAGTGTTGGTTTTGTTTTCCTAATGAAACCACGGTATAAGCATAATCGTACATAAAATATTCATGCATGTAGATAAAGTGCGTAGATTCTTATCGAGATAAGTTCGTCTAGTGTCTATTGAATTTTGTATCTTAGACTTTAAAATTTGAATCTGATATAACAAATCTTATTGAGAAGAAAATATAATCTTTCAACTTCGATCATAAGAAATCGGCCGCTGACCAACTCCCACCACGTCATCCGACTTTTAGTCAACCCATTGATACATATAAATCTCCTTTATGTATAAACGAAACTTTTATAAATTTTAATTCTCACACTCTTGCTTAATCAATTGGATTCATCGATTTTCAATTCTTGATTTCTATTTTGTATTTGTTTTTTTTTGTTTGTCCTCTGCACAATCGCCAAGACGTGAAATCTCACATGTGCTATGGCCGAGATGGGTGTTTATAAATCGAAGTCTAAGCATAATATTGCTAATTATTATCAAATCATAGTCATCAATATTTTCATTCTCTCTTCAGTCACATCTTCATCCATGGCTTCTTCTTCTTTGTCTTCAATTGATTTTTCGACTGCAATTTTAATAAGAGTTGATCAATCGGGCAAAGGAGATTTCATTAAGATTCAAGAAGCAATTGAATCTATCCCTCCTAATCTAAACAACTCTCAACTCTATTTCATTTGGGTTAAGCCTGGAACTTACCGGTACACAACAGTTTTCTTATATATATACACTCTATACGGTTACGTACTTGGGAAAAACATCTATTTTTTTTTTCTTTTTTACATAAACTGAATCGTTTGAAATTCAGAAAATATATTATTTTGTTTATATTTTATAGTTAGAGATAAAGTTATAAAGGTTAGGGACTATTATTTATGGTTTAGGGTTAACATTCATATCTTTTATGATTTGGGATTCAGAATTCGGAGTTTAGGGTTTAGGCTTTACAAATTTGGTATTCTTAATTTTGATATAGAATTATTTGGTATTTTAATTATTTGTTTTCTGTGTAAATGTTTTGTTGATAGGGTTGTCTTTTATCAGCTAGCTATTTGGTACTAGCTAGACTTGGACCTATATATACTATTTTTGTTTTGGGAAAATATATACTACTTTTATTTATAAATTCGTTTTCTCAAACACAGATTTTAGTGATGACTAGATAGTTATATGCTTTATCAGATCCCATGATAAACTAGTTTTTCAATGCTGCTTTGCGATTCTAACTATAGAAAATGAATCAGAGAAAAAGTGGTGATTCCTGCGGATAAACCCTACATAACGTTGAGTGGAACACAAGCTTCCAACACAATTCTCGTATGGAGCGATGGTGAAGACATTTTGGAATCACCCACTCTCACAATCTTCGGCTCCGATTTCGTTTGCCGATTTCTCACTATTCAGGTTAGTCTTCTTCATCATATATTCATCGTATATATGCATATTTTAATTATTGCAATTTCAATATCGAGTACCAAAACATCATAATTTCGATGGGACCATTATTTCATTTTTGCTAATTAAGCGATAGTGTTTTAAGTTTATCATACACCAAAGGTGATATTAAACGTGTCGTAATTAATGCGAATAATAAAACAACATTCGGAAACAACAAACTAAGGATCTTGAGGTGCTTTGATGTTTTGTTGTAAGTAGAATAGGTTTGGAACAACGGGACAGGCGGTTGCGCTGCGGGTGGCAGCGGATAATGCAGCGTTCTACGGTTGCGTGATAACCTCATACCAAGACACTCTTCTTGATGACAATGGGAATCATTACTTCAAGAACTGCTATATTGAAGGAGCCACCGATTTCATCTGTGGAAGCGCTTCTTCTCTCTATGAAGTAATTACTTACTCGTTTTACATGCATAGATTAATTTCATTACAATAGAGATATAATCTCGTACTTTAATTAAACCTTTTTTTTTTCTGTACTCATTCCTAAAGTTTTATTCCATTTTCCGGTTTGATATCTACATGACCAGCTGCTAGAGGAATACATGTTAGATTTATTGATAGAGTTAAACTTTTGGTATCTTTCTAGCATAGAATAATCTATAAGCTTAATTTGGTATGTCAAATGAATAATGAAATATATATAACAGAATATTCAAATAATCGAATAACATGCAGATATATTTTAGCTAAATACATTATGATCTCTAACTAAACTATTTTGTGGGTTTGATTTGAATTTTGTAGAGGTGTCATCTACACTCGTTGTCGCCGAACAATGGGTCGATAACGGCGCAAATGAGATCGTCGGCGTCGGAGAAATCAGGGTTTACATTCTTGGGATGCAAGCTAACCGGTTCGGGTTCCACGTTTTTGGGAAGACCATGGGGAGCTTATTCTAGGGTTGTCTTTGCTTATTCCTTCTTCTCCGATGTTGTCGCACCTCAAGGATGGAACGAATGGGGAGACTCCAGCAAAGAAAAGTACTAAATTATTTGAAATTTATAAACTTTTTTGATGAAATATTTTTGACTGATGATATTGGTTACTAATATTAATTTTTGTTCTTCATTGTGCAGTACCGTTTATTATGGTGAATACAAATGTTACGGTCCCGGAGCAGACAGGGGACCAAGGGTAAAATGGTCAAAACAATTATCCTACGACGAAGCTGCCGTCTTCTTGAGCAAAGACTTTATCGGCGGCAAAGACTGGCTCCGACCTGCGCCTTCTCACTTCAAGAATGCTCCCAAACCAAACCCATAATAAATTAACTGACGATAAACTAAATAATTCCATCAATTTGTTCATATATTAGTCTTGTTCTTTTTATTATCGTATAAATCCTTTATAAATATTGATTGTAATTAGTTACGGGTAATGTAGTATTATTTGTATTATAACTATTAAAAACATATATGTGAATATAAAAACTCAAAGTAATTTGTTAAAGAATTTCTGTGACCACCAAGTAATTTATTTTTTCTTTTATCAGGGCTCCGACCATCAAATGATTTCTTCCTTATCATAAAAGGACATTTCATCGACTGTGGAGAAAGATTCGACAGACCAATACGTGAGCTTTGTAGAATTTGATTAAAACAAATGAAACTTATTGAAAAGAAGAAAAAAAGAAATGAATTTTTTTGAAATAAAAATAAATCATATTTACAACAGAAGTACTGGAGATTAAAGAGAACTAACAAATAACAATTTTCCTGCAACAACAAAACCCAAATTAAACTAGACCACCGTTTTGTTTCCTTCTTCTTTCCTTGTAGAAGCATAATAATACTAGAATTTTTGATTAAATTCGTCACTACAAAACATCCAAAACGGTTTAAAACCCATCTTTTCCTTTTTTTCATTCTTCCTCTGAAGACATGTGACTAACCGACGGAATCAATCAGCACGAGAGGCGCCGCTGCTCGCAGAAGATCTTCGGCCACTATATTTCTGCCACACAGATCAAACATTTGTGATAAATTAGCAACTTTGATCTCAAACTCTGTCACTATGAATGTGCAGGATTCAATAGACTCACAAAAAAGGTACCAAGATTCCGATGGATGAAATGGTTTTTTTTTGTTACTATCAAAGTTGTGGAAAAAGTTACCTGTTTTCCGATGCTGAAAGGAATGTACTTGTGCTTGATCATGTGAGAGATTTGGCGTCTCATGGTGAGGACAAAGAGAACGATCCAGTAGCAAAGTAGTATAGGCCAGAAGACGGGAACATCAAAGACCGAGAAGAAAGTCATGAGAAAAGCTATGCAGAATGCCTTAGTCATGGAGTACCTGCAACAGATTTAATCACATCGTCATCAATAAGCTAATGAAGATGGCATATGGTGAACCACCTGAATGCTAATAGAATTTTGAATCTGACTGAACAAGAAGACATGATATGCATTCAAGATAATCCAAAAGTGGCATTGATAGCATAAGCAAGAGGGTACCAGAATTTAAACTCGGGAAGTCGGCGGATAAATGGCTTGAACTCATCAGAACCTCGAGTAGGCAGAGAAGCTCCATCAGAGGACTCGAGCTCAGGATCAACCAGAGGCGACAAGAAGCCGATAAGCAGATTCAGGAGGTAGATTCCAAGACCATAGGAGATGATGTAGAATCCGTGAATGGAGTAAACCCTCAAACAGTAGATAAGAAAGACAACAAGTGTTCCAATCCACCTATAAGTTGAATGAGGTGTAGTCTTGTCCAGATAATATTTGTAAACCCTCCATGCCTCATGTGCTCGCTTTTGTACAGGCGTGGCCATCGAACCACTTTCACCACCACCGCTTCCTTCCATTGTGATTCTTGAAACCTAGAGATGAATTAAACAACTCAGGCCAAATTCATACTGTAGCAAACACACAATGCCGTCACATTACATCTTCAGACAATCAATGACATGCTCTTGGCGGCATCTAGCTTTAGCCTCTGCACATAATCTACCCAACTTATGGAAACATAATTCAGCTTATAGCCAGAGCAATGAACAGATTAGAATGCAAGATATCCTTTTTAATTTTAACACTAGTTTTTCACATAACTAGCTTCAACTTCTATGCGTACGTTATAATAAGAGTCCCCAAAAGACGATCACAGAAAAATATTCATCGGAAATGAAGATCTAGTCAAAATTCTTACCAACAAGACCCATAAGTTCTGAACACGAAAATTTTCTCACTGAAAAGAAGGAAAATAACATAGGAACCCTAGCTTCGATTTCTCCATGTGTTTGAAGAAAGAAATCAAGAGAACGACGTTAATGATCTCTTAGCTAAAAAAATCTCACTAGAGAATCCAAAAACCCTAGAAACAAACAAAATATGAACTTTTTCTCTCTCTCTCTCGGGTTTTCTGACTAACCAAATAGATTTCAACAAATCGCGAAAGTCAGATCTCGTATCTAAAACAATCGGAGCTGAATCATTTCCCAATTAATCAAAAATTCGTACAAAGCAGCAAAAAAAATCAAGGAGAAGAGTGCGAAGAGGGAATCTAAAAATCCATCGGAACAAGAAAAATCGAAGCTGAGATCAAAGCACTTACGGATGGTGAGAAAGGAAAGAGCTTCTGCTGACCCAAATGAGACCTCGACGAAGCGAAAAAACAAGCAGATCTGGCTAAGGACGCTACGAAATGCGAATATCGCAAGAATCCGTTTTAATTTTTTTTTTTTCAAAAAAACAAAATGTTCTAAATTAATTTCCTCGCGTGCTTATTTACGAAAAACCACCAATACAAACCCATATATTTGTTATAATTTTAATATTCACCCCTTGAATTTATTTTGTCATCTCTTTAATTTATTCTAAATTAATGAACCCAAATCTCTTTTACGTTATCTTAATTGAAATTCAACCATACTTAAACATATTTTTGAGGTTTACTGTTTTCTTAAAAATAAATATTTTTGTTTTCAATTTACTGTATAAATAGTATAAAGAGGATTATCGAAAGATTCAAAATACAAAAAATGAAAAGGAAAAAAAAGTGATAAGCTGACCAATCTTCCGTTGCCAGAGCTCCGGTCAGGCCGCACTGTGGTCTTATTGTTATAAGGTTTCTATCTCTTACATAATAAAAGGTTAACTAAACTTGAATTCTTCTACTATTACATACATCACCGGAAAAAAGGACCAAAGGCTTTCTCTCCGGCCAAAAAGCCTTATAATCCCCGGCTAGATTGTTGCTTCGGTGTCTTATAAGATCACAACTTTTAAGCTCCATTCATATAACAGTCCCGTCTTGAATTGTGGCCTTTTCAACTATCACAGTGATTCCTGATCGAATATAGAATCCTTCCTCTGGCCTATCCGCTTCTTGAACGTCCTGAAAACATCAAAAAACAAACATTAACTTAAACTTTCTATTGATCTTTCTGTAGCACAAGAAAGCCCTCCCATGGAGAAGAAATTCTCAAGAAAAGCTTACGCCTTTGTTCATGATGATCACGTTTTTACCGATCTTGGCATTCTTGTCAATGATGCATTTCCTATGAATCACCAAAAATACTTTTTTTGTTTCAGACAAATCCAATGTCAGAAGTTTGTTGTTTGTATTGTTACTGTCTTTTCAAAACTTACCTGATCTTTGTGTCTTTACCAATGCCAATTGGAACATTTCCTTCTGCTAATAGAGATGCTATCTCAGATTCAGTTTGGTAATAATCTGCACCTAACATCAACGTATCCTGCGAACAAACAAAAACCAAAACTCTGTTTGATCAGAACAATACTGTAAAATCCTTTGGGACTGTTTTAGATCATAGCGAAGACAATGAAGATTCACCTGAAGCTCAACTCCATAGTCTAGACGTGACCGTTCACCAATGATGGACCGTTGGATGCTGCATTCTCGCAGGAAACATCCGTGTGAGATTATCGAATCTACCATCTTCAAAATCATCAAAGAGAAACCATTCTAAATTAGCAAGTCAGGATCAAAGAAACAGACATAAAGAAGAAAGGGACTAGTCGATACATACACGGCATTTCTCAGTTTTGGTTGGTGGGAGGAACCTGGGAGAAGTGTAGAACGGAGTGTCTGGATCATAGAACTCAAACTTTGGTCGCTGCAGAAAAAGAACACAAGGTTAAGAGATCACAATAAGGTGAAAGGTTTGAGTATGTTTGTGAGTTTCTAACCTCTTCAACAAGAGCTAAATTAGCCTCATAGAATGTCTTTATAGTTCCAATATCCTCCCAATAATCTCGGAAGATGTATCCCTGACCAAGAAAATACAAAATCGTTTGATGATTCATTGTCTTCAACGCATTAAAAGAAGAAGAAGCAGAGTTTTTTTCTACAAATCTTACTTGAACATCGTGATCTCTTATGGCTGCAGGAATAATTTCAGATCCAAAGTCATTGGAATTCGGATACCGTTGTGTCAGAAGGTTCAGCAAAGCTTCTGTTTTGAAACAATAAACTCCCATTGATGCAATGTATGGTGAATCTATTGCTTCTTGATGAGACAGTCCAAGCATTGTTGTGTCCGTTTGCTGTCAAAAGCAACAGAAAAGCTTTACGTTTTCTGAAATGTTTGGTGACTCTACTGAGTTAATCTGTTTTGAGAATCAGACAAAACCATACCATTGCTTTCAGATCGACTCCTGTTGGTTTCTCCGCGAATTGGATTACACGCCCACCTCGGTCAATCTTCACTAGACCAAAATTTGATGCACGGCTAAAGAATTCACAAAAGACAAGTTTTTAAGAACCGAGATTTCTCACACAATAGGCGTAAAAGAGATTCAAGAAACTAACCTTTCGCTGACTGGTGCACACGAAAGAGTGATTTCTGCGTTACTATCTACATGAGACTGTTACAGCACATCGATTTAGTGAAACTATAAAGAGGTTTTAGAGATGATGAAAAGAACTGTTTCGATTTAGAAAAGTACCTGAACAAAGTCCATGTAGTTCATTCTATAGAGATGATCTCCAGACAAGATAAGAATGTTCTCAATGTTCCTGTTCTTGGCATCCTATTTACGACATCAACAGTTTTTAGACCACTTCAAAGATTCACATGGGAACAGACTTCTGTATCGATAAAGCAGTAAATGTGGCCATATAAGTTCATACCTCAAACACCCAGAGAAATTTTCTGACAGCATCTGCTGTTCCTTGAAACCACTTCTTCCCTGCTTCCCCGGGTGTTTGTGTAGCAGCAAGAACCTGTTCAATGAAATTTTTACATCTGCTTTATTCGTCGGAAATAGAGAACCCATTCCAAGAAAGAAAACCACATTTTTTTTATTTGTTATAGAGTTTATACCTCTACGAAACCACCTCCAAAGTTTATGCCATTCCCAAAATAAGTACGTGCTAAATGTCGATTTAGAGAAGCGGAGTTGAACTGTGTCAGCACAAAGATCTTATTGATGCAGCTGTTAATGCAGTTACTCATAGGGATATCGATCAGCCTGTAGCATCCACCAACAGGAACCTGCATATTATTGAGCCATAAGATTCCTCATTACACAGAACATTGTTTTATAGATAAGACCCTTGAGGTCCTAATCTCCATGATTGTTATCTACAGTTAAATTTTTTACTTACAGCCGGTGTGGCGGCTCTCTTTGTAAGAGGAAAGAGTTGAGCTCCATTGCCACCTCCTAGAATGATTGCAGCCACGTTTTTTGGGTCTGCCTTTCTTCTCTCAAACATGGAAGGCTTTACTCTCTGAACAAAACAAAAGCAGCAAACAGTATTAAGACCTCTGGAATTTTGCAGGAAATGAAAGGGATCGCTTAAGCAATTCTTAAGACCGCTGAATTTGATCAACACAAAGCCTAATGCCATTATAAGCAAAAGAGGAATAGTAAAACTGATCAACATACCATAACATCTTTTGGATTCTTTGAAGTGGCAACAGCGTAAACAACGCCGTGCTTGACCGTTCGGTTACAAAACTTCTTGGAGCTCAAATCTGAAGCAAAACATTTAAAGAAGCCACTGTTGTTGATCTTCTGACCCCAAAATCTGTTCTCTAAATTCTTGAAACTGAGTTTTGGCAAGATAGAGCTGCTTTTTCCCAAGGCAAAGCAGTAAGAAGAGTCCATCTTTGACAAACAGAAAAGAAAAACCTTAGAAACTTAATAGCAGAGACGATTTTGGCTCAGAAGAATAATAAAGCTTCAAGTAAAGTGAATAACACACAAAGCGTTTCAGTTTCTAATTCCTTATTTATATAATCAAAATAGTAATAGAATAATCCAATCCCATTGTTCAAATCTAAGCAAAGTGTTAAAGTGAAACCGACCAAAGAAATTCTGTTAAAAGTTAAAAAAAAATCCAAAAAACATTTCTTGAGGGTACCCAGATAGATAAATCCTCGAAAGCTACGAACTTTCCACAAACCCAGATGATTCACAAACACAGATCCCCGAAGTTCTCAAATTCTCATCGTCTCAAAGCACAAAACTCTTGAAATTTGATGATCCTCTAATCTCCATGACTAAACTGAGTTTCAAACTTACGCAGAACAAAACCTTTCAAAACCATTGTTGGGTTGGAAAGAAACATCCTAAGAAATTGAATTTTATATATAAAAATGTAAAAATAAAATAAAAAGTATAAGGAAGATGCTTGAATCATAGTAAGCTTCATGTAAAAGATCAACTGATAGTATCTTCTCTTCCTAGCTAGGACCGAATAAGTTTAAACATTAATATTTCTTTAGTTACAAAATTCAAAAGAAGAGTATAAATTTACAACTTTTTCATCATTAGACGCAAAGAAAACACCCTAAAAGAATATAAATTTTCCGGCAAAAAGGTGATTTTCAGGGAAAAAAGAAAAAAAAAACATATGTTGCACATTGGTTAGAAATGAAAAATCGATAATGGGAATGCAAAAGCTTGAAAGACAGGAACTTTTTTTTCATGTACAGAAACAACTATCCAGATAGAAGATCTAAAGAAACCCAGCTCCAGAACAAAATCAAAAATTAAGAGTGCATATTAGAAATTTAAAACACACTGTGAACACAAACATAAAAAGTAGCAGTGTTAACTATAATATTAACTCACCAGAAAATCAAACTCTTTGTCTGATTCTGATGAATAACGTTTGAAATCGAAGAAGTGTGAATCAGTGAAGTGCGTAGTTGACGAAGGAAGCTGTTACTTCTTTCTGGTTTTTGTCCTGTGATCGCCCACGAGAAAGTAAGCTGATTTTCTCTCTTGCTTCCTTTTTTTTTTAATTTTTTTTCTTTCTTTTTTTGGTGTTTGTATCTCCTCTCTTGATTATGAGTAGGACTTTGGAGACAATTTTGGAAGTTTAGATTTCAATTCTACTTAGATTAAATTCTTAATCACATAAGTAAATTTAGCTACATTGGTAAATAAGACTAAAACTACCACAGCCTTTAATAATATCTGAAAATACAATACTTAAAAGTATACGTAGAGTATTAAACTCTCTTATAACTTATGCTTTAATTATTAGGAAAGTTCGTACAATTTTATAGGTAGAGAGGTAGAGTATTAAACACATATTTTGTTTACCAGTGAATGTAATGTTGGAATTGAATAAAATTATTATTATTAAAAAGAAAAGAATAAAATTATTATATTCAAGCAAAAAGAAAATAAAATATTCACAAGGTCATGTGACCGTGTTAGGCCAAACGGACGGCTCTGGTGACTCCCATACTCTCGCTCCAATGTTACAAGGACACATGGAACCTCACATCTGATCTAGTGGGCCTCGGCCCATATTCATCTACACACGTAATGGTTATATTTTCCTCTATAAATGTTTTCCTTTATGATTTTTTTTTTTCGTATACATTACACACTAATTTGACATCAAATTGTGATACCAAGATATTACTACAAACCACTAGACTATTTTTCTCGATTTAAATAATTTTTTTCTATGTTTTTTTTGTATACTAGTAGGGAAACAAATGAATACTTATTTATGGTTAGGGTTTTCTAGAAGGATACAATAAATATCTAACACTGCTTTCATGTGTTATGCATGTGTGAGATAGTGATGCTTAATATCTATGTATTGTTTTGTTCTTTTGCTGGATGAACTGAGAAAATTTACGGCCGCACAATTGTCATCAAACAAAAAAAACCAGTTATATAAAGTCCCTTAAAGTGCCTTTATTTTGTTGCCAACAAAAAAAAACAAAACTTAATCATGACAAATTAGTGAAACCTTTTTTTTCTTCAAACAATAATATTATACATTCGAATCTGTCAGCACAGTGGCAACCGTTTTTTGGAGGTACCCATTCCAACTTTTAACTCGAAATCTAGCTAGCTGGTTCATCCAAACTCTGTTACTCAAGTTAATTGAGTATTTTGAGGGGAAATGGCTCGCATGCCATTATTTGTGGGTTTAGCATTCTAACTTGCCATTTATTAATCTTGATGCCACTAATTTGGGGAAAATACTATTATAACCTTAATGAAGGGACCCACGTAGCTACTCTCTCCCTCTAATATCGATTTTGTAACTAAAATATTCGAAAATCAAAAAAAAAAAAATGCATGCCGGAAGCAGATCTGGGTGGCTCGGGAAATCGATTTTGTGGCCGGAAAAAGAAAATTTGATCCTCTTCGTTTTATTGTCCGTTGTCTCCGTTCTTCGCCGCGGATAACACACTGCATTTGGAAGCGCAGACATATCCTTCCGTGCAGCTCGTCGTCGTCGGAGATCCTCCCATCTATCGACTCCAATTAGCTCATCTTCATTCTCCGATTAGGTATGGTATATCTTTCATTAGGGGAAATGCATGTTGTGGTATGTACATTGGGTCGATTAGGTAGATTGATTGTTGATTAGACGTCCAAATTGAGCTAGAGTAGAC